TCTTCGGAATTGCGGGTCGACGGTGGAAACAATGACGGAAATCTGGAGCAGGTGAAGCGCGGGCCACGCAGTTCATCGGCGATACTCGCGGTGTTGATGTGGGTTTTGTTCATGTCGCCTCAACCGAACTTGGAAATTTGACGATTGAAATAGTGGTCGGTTTGCTGTGAGACGAGCGAGTTTCCATGAGATCTCATGTCGCGAGATGGACACTGGCTCATGGTTGATTTCAACCTTTTACTTTTGATCCAGCTGGAGAGTATGCTGTGTGATGATGTACCCAGAGAGTAAGGTACCGAGGCTGGAAGGCTAGGAGGCTGACTCTAAGGAGAGAGCTATCGCCAGCGGCTTTTGTTACCAAAAGTTTGAAACATAGGGATTTCATTCCAAGTAGTTCATCAATCAAACCTACTTTTTTACTAAACTCAGAAATCATCTCATTCTCCATGACCTTATTCATACAAAAGCCTTCCGAACCGCAGGAGCCGGCGTGCCAGCATACCCAGGCCCGGCCGCTTAAAGCGGGGCCGTATCCGAAGGTGGGACTGCGATGTAGTCGGATGTGTTCGTACCAAGTCGAGCCGAATTGACCAGGTTAATGCCGTGTTTTGACCTCAACTCCTCTGTCAACATGATGTTAAGTCCAATTATATTCATGTGTAGTCGCAACTTGAATTCATTGCAGAAGAACCTGGAGTGGTGGGAGATACCGAGATGTTTGGTGTTGCTTATCACACACTGGGAACGGCATTTATTGGCTACGGCCGCGACTGACCAAGACTGCAGTGACTTGCTGCAGAGGGTAGTCGACCAAACATGCTGGCTGAGACATAAAAGCCATACTCGAGATCTACGAGAACCGGAGTTTACAGACGGACCTTCCTATCATGAAATAGACAATGGTATCTACTACGCTGCAACGATGATGTATTCTATATGGCATACGAAGGTCAGGTCTTCTTCTGTGGTCGGGATGCTCCGAAAAAGACGAAGCCATCCAAGCAGTCTAAGAAAGTTAATCGGAGATCTTGACGGCGGGTCGGCAGAGTATAGGTCCAGGAAGCCTAACAAAACCACACGCTTCGGTACAACGTTCAAATCATCAATAAGCAAGACGTTCATGGTGTTTTCCACGACTTGTTGCCATGGAGGGCGGTGAAAATCTGTGAGACAACGTGGATCAGTCTGGACAAGTGAAAGTCAAATATAAGCAAGCTTCGAAGATAACGGTAGGCACAGAGTGAGGACTGCTGCCGCTATTGGTCGCGGAAGTAGTATTAGCCGGTGATAAGGGTGTGATGCGTTGCGGGTGCCTTGCAGCGCATGGCGAGATGGCAGTCGGAATCACCAAGACGTGGCGGCTCAAGAGAAGGGTTACGGATCGACAAAGAGCACACAATGGCAGAGCCGAAAATCGCCATGAAGGAACCGGAGGGGTAAGTTGGGCAAAAACTCGTCCATAGTTGCTGGGATCGGAAAACGGATCCCGAAGCAAGATTGATTGACGAGCCGGGGGCTCGTGGCTTTGAATTGCCTCTTTCATCTGGATAGGAAGTTCCAGCGCGAGACGGGAAGTGGCGCAAGGGTCTGGACCCCTGTGAAAGTCTTGCTAGTGGAGCCCCGATGACGGATCTTGGAGGCGGAAACTGCCCGGTTCTATCTAAAATTCTAAATCTCTTCGTCGAAGCATCGAATTGTTTAGTGTTCTTCAGCCCTACAGATAGACAGAAACAGCAACGGCGCAACGAAATGGACCCCCATGCCAAGACTTCTAAGAGTTTTCACTTCGTTGGGTTGATGTTTTCGGCACCATCCCGCCGGTTAGCCCCTCGCGAGTCACTCACTCACTTAGACCCGGCTCTAAGAGTTTACCCAACAGCGCTTGTTCGACAAACATTGGGAAAATTGCTAACGACAAGGAACGCTTGAGCTGTCCGGCGTGAGATTGGCGCGCAAACCAGCCTGTGGAAACCGGTGGAGCATCGCGACATGAGAATCGCCTGAGGTCAGGGAGATGAACATGACAAAAGTCTGCCATGTGGCAAACTCTGCAGCCACAGCCCAACTGATAAGGGCTTATTAGGTTGATATCACTGCAACCCTTTTCAAGGAGCGAATCCATCACGAACACTACTTTGTTCACCGCGATTTCATGTATTTCAAGATCGTGAGACGCTGATGAATTTCGAGAGATTCCCCTGTGGTTGACACTCTTCCACATAGTCTCATTTCCCCTCCTAATTTTCAATCTTTTCTTACAACACAGACAACGAAAAGATGCCCCACGATAAACGTTCTCTCGACCACCGGGTCTCGGTGGACGGTGACGGCGAGCCCCTCGGCCGCCGCACCTCGGCGCTCGAGGAAGCCCCGACTTTCGTTCCACCAGCGGGTTACCCAGGCATGCCCATCACCCGCCGCCGAAGCACAGTCTCCCAGAATTCGCGCGGAACATTCGACCACGACCATCCCGAGGATCTCGATGAGCTTGTACGGAGCGCATCGGCCATCAGCCGGCACAGGTCAAGGGATAGGCGCGAGTCCAAAGACAACGTCTTTGAGTTGCCCGCCTTCCCTAAAGCCGCGAAGCCCGGTCCCGTGAGCACTATTCGCGAAGTACCTTCCCAGTTCACTACCCCTCAATCAACGCGGCCGCCATCCCCGGTCTCCGGCGTGAGCTCGGGCCCGCCTTCAACCGGAGGTGGGTCCGGCACCCAGACGCCGGCTGAGTACGAGATTGGCGCGGGGCAGGCTTACCCGGACGTCGGGACCGTCGCATCGTTTCGAGGAGCCATCGTGCTGCTCTGCACTTGTGGCGCTCAGCTCATGGACAACATCTTCATGACGGCCGTCAACATTGCCCTCCCCGCCATCCAGAAGGACTTCAAGGTCAAGAATGCGGAGCTGCAGTGGCTGATCTCAGCATACACCTTGACCTTTGGCGGCTTCCTTCTTCTCGCCGGTGTTTTTGCCGACCGCTTTGGTCGAAAGTTGATCTTCTGCGCCGGAATGGCTACGCTGAGTGTCTGGACGATCGCCAATGGTTTCGCGACTTCGTTCATCCAGTTGGCTATCTTCCGAGCTCTGCAGGGTATTGGTGCTGCGATGACTGTGCCTTCGGCCGTTGGTATTATCAGCAACTACTTCATTGCCAAGGACCGCACGCTTGCACTCACAATCTTCGGTGCCGCCGGCGCTGTCGGCTTCTGTCTCGGTCTCATATTTGGAGGCTTTTTGACTTCATCGCTCGGATGGCGGTACATCTTCTACATCCCCACTGCCGTCACAAGCATCCTCGGTATCATCGGCTGGGCTCTTCTCCCCAAAGACAGGCTTGAGGGCAACTCAAAGCCCAAGCTCGATTTCGTTGGCGCTGGCCTGTCAACTGCTGGCCTCATCTTGCTCAGCTTTGTGCTTTCGAGTGGCGGTGAGTACGGATGGGGCAAGGCCTTCATCATCGCGCTGCTTGTCGTCAGCATCGCGATGATTGTTGCCTTCACCTACGTCGAGAAGAAGGTCGCCAATCCTATCATGCCCCTATCGCTATGGAAGCTCGAGAACTTTGCTGCTCTTTGGATCGGTGGATTCGGTAAATCATGTACCCCTCTTTGACACCAAGATCATGGGCTAACCCCTGAATAGTATCATACGGAGGATACCAAACGACGATCTACTACACCACTCTCATCGCACAAGAAGTCAACCACCTCAGCGCCGGACAGACCGCCCTTCGGTTCCTCCCCATGGGCGCAACAGGCTTCATCTTCAGCCTCTCCATGTCCCGCATGCTCGAGATTTTCAACACCAAGCTCCTCCTCATCATAGGCATGGCCATCTGCGCAATCGCGCCCATCCCCTCCGCGCTCATGCGACAAGATGACCTCGACTTCTGGAAGCACGTCTTCCCGACTACCGTAATGGGCGTGGCAGGCGTGACGATCGTCTACTGCACCATCACTGTCGTACTGCTGGCTTCGGTGCCGGTCAATGTCAAGAGTCTGTGCGGCGGCATGATCAACACGGCTTTCCAGATTGGCAGCGGCGTCAGTCTCGCTTTAGCTGGGGCTGTTGTCCAGGCTGTTGATACCAGCAAGGGACATAGCGATCTACGGCAGTATAACACTGGCTTGTTGTGCTGCTGTGGTCTCGCTGGCATTGGCATGATTGCGAGCACGTTTGGGGTGAAGAACATTGGCAAGGCGGTCAGCGGACCGGTAATGGCGCATTAATGAGTTGACGACGAATTGAATGACATTAGAGGCATAGAAGGAAAATCACAACAGCAGGATCTTGAATGTTTGGGAAATGGATCATTGCTTGCATCATAGAGATCATAAAGATACCTTTGGGGATAAAGTATAGACATCAGCCATTGCTGAGGAGAAGAGCGAACTTCTTCGAGTTCGCGATAATAGAACGCGGGATAGGTAGAGGTATCAGATATAGAGCGATGTGACTTAGTATCCCATCACACATAAGAGCTTTTCGTGTCACGGGTAGAATACGCTTCGCCTTAATGAAGACTCGAATGACTTATTTTGCGCAAGCAATCAGAACACACGTGAACTCATCGACATTACGGTGGCATCCGTAACACACCGTACAGCGAAAGCGTGCCTGAGAGACATTCCGAAGGCCTGACCAATTGATCTAAGTGGATGCGATATTGCTTGCGTCACCCAGAAATACCCGAAACATCCCGGATCCAAAATCCCACCGGGTCCAACGAATCGTCAGCGACAGTGAAGTGGCCCATCATGCCATCAGCGCAGTACGACTCATCTACCTCATGCCAAAATATCAAAAACGCGGTATCGAGCAATTCTCAGTCATACGGATGAGTCAATATATCCCCTGGCCACACGTACTCCATTGAATTAACTCGCTGTGGGCTTGGATCATCCGGGCCGCCGTAAAGTTGCCGGTTTGGGCCCACCCCTGGCCAAAGTCAGGCCCCACTCGGCGTCCGCTTTCTTTCCGAAGGTCCTCGGAGCTTACGGGTGTGGCAGAAAACCGCATCCCGTATACTTGTTTCAGCAGCATCCATCGTTGCTATATAATCTGATACGTTGAGATTAGAACGGTGCCTTTCAGGTATTCGAATCATATTCGCACCCACCCTATCAGTACCACAACGGCTTTTGGAATATCTTCAATCATGACAACTCTTGCTCCCTATCACATCATATCATACGGGACGCTGCTCGGCACGTCACTATTCCAGACGTTCGTGAACACCAAAATCTGCTATCTAGAACTTCCCAAGTCCGCATTCACGACATTACAAAAACGTCTTTTTCCGATATACTTCCGATGCCAGGCAATCCTCCTCGTCTTGACCGCCCTCACATTTCCCCCTCGTGGCCCGGCATCCCTGTTCAAGGGGAAGAGCGACTGGATTCCGCTCGTGGTTGCGGGGTTGACGTCCTTGGCAAACTTGCTCGTCTACGGACCGAGGTCTAAACAGGCGATGATCGATCGCACTCATCAAGGTGAGCCCGGCCAACACGTTCTGGCTGTCATTTTCCCACCCCATAGCTAACACCCGGAACTTGAAAGAAACCCGCGATGCCAAACGCCCTGGGGATGTGGATGAGCCGAGTCCAGATATGCTTGCTGTTAGAAGACGGTTCTCAAGGAACCATGCGATGAGCATCCACCTCAACCTCGTCTCGATTGTTGCGATGCTGTGGTACGGTTTTAGCCTGGCATCTCGCATCCACATTGAAGTCGACTCATAGACGTGGACGTCGGGGGCACCGATGTTGTATTTAAGCTTAGTCGACCTCCCTGTATCCGCAGTGCCTCGCCATTGCAGCATGTGCACACATGCGCTCTAGATGGATCCAATTTGTAGCGATAAATTGACTGTCTCTCAAGTTCCTTGAAATGCCCCTGGCAGCCGGATGACATAGCCGTTTGCTGTGCTAGTCTGAGGTAACCTAGATGTTCTTAGTGCCCCAAAACGTCTTAAAAATAGTGCAACATTTTCTGCGCGGCGCATGAGTAATGCTAGCCAGGCCGAAAGCCCGCGGCCTTTTGCGACATGCATCCCCACATCTCGGCAGTAAAATCTAGTCACCTCGGCTTCTTACATCTTCAAGCAGGTGCTGCTTCCGAAAGAACCTACCGTTCAACATCGAATAACCTCGCCGACTTGCGAAGTAAGAGCATTGTATGTGCTGCCTGACTGGACATCTGTCTTTAGGATATCCGCAATGAGCGGAAGTTCACCGTCGACGAGCACTGTGAAGCCTGGAGGTGACCGCGCTCGCGTGGCCTGCAAAGCGTGCAGGTCAAGACGGGTCAAATGTGATGCAGGGGACTCTCATCCCTGCTGGCAATGCCGAACACGCCAAATCCCTTGCGAACTTGTTGAGTCCAGGAGGGGCAAGTAAGGGTTTACGCCCAGCGCGATGATAATCGTCTCTTGAAAAAAGCTCACAGCACGCCAGATACATCCGCAAAAAACGCAACTTACAACAAAAGCAATCTCGGGCTCAATCTCCACAAGTACAGCCTGCGAGAACTGACCAGGGTCCAGCCGAGCAAGAGACAGAAGGCCCAATCGAAGTCTTCATTGAAGACGGCAGCTTCACTAACAGCCCCGTCACGTCCGATGGAATCAGCAACGATGGCCAACTCCAGCCAAGCCAAGCACAAAAGAATCAAAGACAACATCCATGTTCAGTAGATCTCAGTCTGTCTTACATCGTCGAAGTTGTCCACAGACCGAAAGATGGCTCAACCGAGCCCGTCAAAGTCCACTATCCTATTCCGGCTTGCATAGCAGACCAGTCGGCCTACAATCATGCGCCGAAGGTCATAGAGACAATTTCTCTTCAAGAAGCGCTCGCAATGCCGGCTCCGCACATCGCAGACCAACTCATTCGCCCTTTCTTCGAGATCATGCACCCGGCGTATCCCGTGTTCGACCGAGAGAGCTTCTCGCGGCAGTACCGCCAAGGCCAGGCGTCGCCTCTAGTCCTGCAGGCTATCTTCCTGCTTGGTTTCACCGTATGCGATGACAGTCTCATCGAGGAAGCTGGCTTCAGCGATCGAGCTACTGCAAGGAGAACGCATTATCTTCGTGCCAAGGCTCTTTACGATGCGGAGTACGAGAGTGATCACATGAACCTTGTAGCTGTTATGCTGCTTCTAGGTTTCTGGTGGGCTGGCCCGGAAGATCAAAAGGATAATTGTTACTGGGTCAACTGTGCCGCGACTATGGCTCAGTCCCTCGGCATGCACAGGTCGTATGTTGCGATTAGCTTGTTGCCTTTCTCCCGTTGAATATCGAATGCTTATGTTCTTCAGGATGTCACACTCAGCCTTAAGTCCACGAATGCGATCACTCAGAAAGAGGATTTGGTGGGCCATCTACGTAAGTTCGAACATTGAGGTTAGTTGGCTAAGTAAAGTTGACCACGGCATCATCTTAGACCCGCGATAGACACACCGCTGCAGCATTCGGTCGACCATGTCGAATTCGTGACGAGGACTGCGATATAGAGCCTCTAATCGAGGAGGACTTCGAGTTTGATAAGAACGGCGATGAAAGACTGATACCTGCTCAACACAAGTACCACGTGTCATATGTCATGGAGATGGCAAGGCTAACTACGATATGTGAGCATCTGGCCTCGGGTTGAGATAAGCAACCTCTCGATCCGTTGTACTGAGTCCTGACACGAAGTTTCACAGTGGGGGACATAATCGTTTCAGAGTTCAGCCCACGACGTGCTATGATCGAGAAGTATGAAGCAAAATCGCTCAAGAAGGAGCTCCGCCGTTGGAATTCAAGTCTGCCGGAGCACCTGAGTCCGGCGCCGCTCGATGGGTCTCTCGGTGCATCATTCTGGGCCAGTATGGTGCAGTTCACCTACCAGTAATCGACGCCAACTAATATCAAACTCGAAATTTTCAGCTGACGCTTGATAGATACTGCCACATCCTCCTGTTCAGACCGAAGGCTATCGATAACCTCACGCCGGCAGAGGCAGAAAGAGACAAGCAAGCTCGCATGGCGGCAGACGCCATCACACGTAATGCAGAAGACCTTCTCGCCGCCGAGACTATCAGATCTGCACAGATCCATCTGTAAGAACTGCCGAAATACGACTGGCAATGCCGACTTCTGACAGTGTCTAGTGTTCCGACTTTATTTGGCGCCCTTTCCATCCATACTATCGTCATCTGCCGCAAAGACCCAATTCGTCGACAACTAGCTGAAAACAAATCACGACAGTGCCTACTGGCCTTGAGTCAGCTGTCAAAGTCCTGGCCTGTCCGCTTATGGATCTCAAAGTCATTCGTCAGTCTAATGAGGAGACTCACTGGTCAGGGGTCTATAGTCAACGTGACATCCAGCATTGTAGGTATTCTCATAGGCATTACGTCAGTAAAAACTGTGCAAACATTGACGGAATCGCAGCACGGCCCAAATTACCGGACGTTTGCCCCGCAATACGCGGGCGAAGAAACCAACCCAGCTATGTTGAATTCTTTCCACAGTACTGGTGAAGTAGGCACGGAAACCGCGGGCCTCAATGCAGCTCAACCCGAAGCACCACCGGGGCAAGAGAGCTTTCATCAGGCAACTGATCAAATGTTCTATGATACTTTCTGGGCGGATTACCTGGATAATACCTTTGATGTTGATCTTCTTATACATTCTCACTCAGGCTTTCCTAGCAATCCTTCCGGGTAGTAAAGGGAGGTGGAATACAGTTGAGCGGATCCGCGGAGGATTTCGAAGGATCACTTGCAGACATCTGATTCAATCAGTATGATCCAGTACAACAAGCAAACTATTCGTCCGTATCTGTCTACTGAGGCAGTCATTGCTCTCCAATATACCTAGACGGCCCGGCCAAACTCCGCGTATTCTGCTGGTATCTACTGGAGCCCCTGTCACGTGTCTTGATACTCCAAAGCATCAACAGAATGAAAGGAAATGCTGGCTCATTGTATGTTCTTGCTATGAGAAAACTCCACTACTCTCAAAAGACTAACATTCTTTATAGGTTTAACGTAACACTGGGTGGGCCGTCTGATCTGGGCATCTGTTGACCCATACGTGCTCAGACGACTCTCAAGCTCCGGGAACTTGAAGCTAAGAAGAAGCATACTTATCATGAACTTCATTTCTAGCAACGCAATCTTCCTCCCGAAACAGCCCCTCGCACCCGTCGAGAACGGCAAAGATGGACCAGCGATGGCGTTGAATGTTCCGTCGGAGCGCATCCATCTCTCCGGCGAAAACTGATCCAGGGGCGCAAAGCTGGTGTCCCAGCGTTTGGATTTCCTTTCACTGCCGTAATCTGTGTAGTATTCCTGTAGATGGGAGGGCCCGCCTGTGACTAGGAGAACGGGGGTCCTAGCCGGGATGTCGACTCCTAGAATGTGACATCCAGTCATCGTTTCTCTAAAAGCCACAGGACCAGGATATGATACACGAAGGACTTCGGCAATGAATGCATCCAGGTATGGCACATCTGCTGAAGCGATATCGGAAGCAATTGGAAGACCAGGTTCACCGAGCCCGAGAACGTCAACGAGCGCGCTTCTCAAGCGTGCCTGCACAGCCTGGTTGTCTGCCAGGTGCTTCAACGCCCAGCCAAGCCCGGCGCTTGTTGTTTCGTGACCAAAGATAAGGAACTGGAATAACTCGTCTCTTATCTCGTCTTGAGACGAGTGGTTGCTGTAGAGCATCGAGTTCCTCTCCAGGACTTCCTGCAAGCCACATCTCGGATGTCTTTGATTCCCATCTTGACTATGGATACGCAGAAGTGCAGCATTGATCTCAGAATTGAGGACGTTTGTGACGGCAGCCTGGGCACGTCGAAAGTATGAGAGATGGCCTATAACCCACTTCGACAGACGCACACTGGCGCTCGTCGTCACCCAGTTGAGACATTGCAGCAGGATTTCCATCGAGTGAACCAACAGCGGGCCATCCCTGCATAATTCAAGATCTCCTTTCTTCAATGATAATCGAGATTTAGGGTTTGCTCTTTGCATCTCTTGTTGGAGCATGCCAAGGTCCAAGCCCAATGAGATTGCGCCAATGGCGTCTAAAGCGGTTGATTTGAGGTCATCTGTGGCTCTGAAAGGTTGATGGTTGTTGTTCTTAGACCTGACTCTCCACAACTCGATGAGTCGCGATATGGACTCATGAAATCTGGGAGCAGCGACTTCATGGAGGAAGTGCGATGACGAGACGACACCCCAGAGACGTCGCTGAGACTTCAACTTGTCATTCGTCTTCATACTGAATGTCGCGTTCGGCATAATGAAGCCAAACATATCGTGGATGAGCGACGCCCTGTCCATCTCACCCAATTTCCTCATGGCGATTTCCTCGATTTCTGGTAGGTCGGCCAGAATCACAGTGGGTCTCGTAAGGGAGAAGGTCGGGAGGAATATCTGCACGATCGGTGACTTGAGATCGAGGGATTCCCGAGAGAACCAGCTGAAAGCCTCGCCGCTCAGGAGCCAGTAAGTGCCGAGGGGGGCGAGGTGCCCAGCTGGCATCCATCGCCATCTCTGTTTGTAAGGGATGCCCGGGATTGGGGGCGGTACTGTTAAGTGGATGATGAGAAGGTAGAACGCGAGTGAGACACCGACGACCAACGCCAAGGTTGTCTTCTGAAGGTCGATATCGGGGTCCAAGCCCCAAAGTGCTCCACTGCCGGGCATCTTTGAAGGATGAAAATGCTGGTATCAAACATTGTGAAGATGAAAAAATGGGTGTACGGCCGCCTGAAATGGAAATACGAACCTCCAGGTTAGAAGATGTCCAACTGACTTGCTGCAGACAATCACAAAAGAGCGGATTGTAAGTGGCGTCTTCGGCGAAGGCCCCGAATTGTGACTAGGCGCCAGTAACTTCAATAGAGGGGCTCTTTAGCGGCCGCGCGGTGAGATAGTAATGTTGTCAACATCATAAGCGCTTGTCTTAGAGCGACAGCATGTAGACAGAATGAGGATTGTTTCATTGGTTAGAGTTATCCAGCGATTGGCTGACGCGGACTTTGATGCTCAATATAGCAAGCTGATATTTAGTCGACGAGCCTGAGTTGTGCAGCGTGCATCCTGCGCCGTAAGACGGGGTCTGGATTCGAATCCTTGTCAACAACCTAACTTTCACAAGATAGCCGTCCGCGTGCCGAGCCACACATGGGATGACCGCGGTGGTGCCCCCGCAATCCGATTCCCGTCATCCGTATTATGTGAGATGGAGGATCGGAAAGGAATTTAGCTTTTGTGAACTTTTACTTTGTCTTTTCTGCCCGCCTGAATTGCATCGCAAAGTCGTGAGGTACTCTCAAGATTGAAGATGACGAGCAACATCGGAACACCACAGCCCAGCAAATCTCCATGATGGTTCGCTCTGGATGAAACATCCTTGTGGTTAGATGATCAGCGTCGATGGTTTAGTGGTAAAATTCTCCGTTGCCACCCAACAGCGTCGGGGAGCCGGGGGTTCGATTCCCCCTCGACGCATTCTTTTGCTTCCCAGAGCTGTTCTCAAACAGAATTCAGTATCCCCTTTTTGTTTTTTTCTTCTTCTTTAGTATATTTACTGTTAAGATGCTATCATTACACAGACTCTGAACGAAATGGAACACGAATTTCAAAGCCTGGCCACAGAGTCTTCAGTTAACAGATGTTTCTGGACCTTTCCTGACCCTGTCCGAGGAAAGCTACTAACAAAGACAGTCTCTCTCGGGATCTTGAATCGAGCAATCAGTGATTGGCAATGACTGACCAAATCGCCGTGAGTCAGCTGAGAGTTTGGCCTTACAATGACATAGGCACGCCCGGCTTCGCCCCAAAGCTCATCGGGAACGCCCACAACTGCAACATTTGACACACCAGGATGTTCAGCTAACGCAGCCTCAACTTCGGCGGGATACACATTCTCTCCCCCGGATATGAACATGTTCTTTCGCCTGTCAATAAGGAAAACATAGCCATCCTCGTCGACCCGCCCAATATCCCCCGTCCGGAACCAGCCGTCTTCAGTGAAGGCAGCCATGTTGTCGTCTAGTCTGTTCCAATAGCCGGGCGTGACGCTCGGGCCTGAGACCAAGATCTCCCCAGGCTCACCGACGGGCATTTCCTGGTCACCTCCGTCCACAACTCGGACCGCCGTCAACGGGCCGGGAAGACCCACAGAACCGGCCTTACTGCGAATGAGCTCTGCTGACAGCGGCATTCCAGAGCATGTCCCCATTTCAGTCGATCCATAGCCGTCCACCATTCGGACCCCGCGACTCAGCCACCACTTGATCTTAGCTGGAGGATTGGGCGCACCACCAGTAAACAGCGCCTTCAAGGCTGACCACGACGATGGATTGAAGTTCGGTGCGCCTGCAAGAGCCTCGGCCATCTGAGGCACGCAAAAGTAATGGGTGACGCCGAGTTCGGCATCGCTCAGGCGGACATTGGTTGTTTCGGGTTGAAATTTGGAAGAGACGATGAAGGTGCCACCTCGCATCAGTGAGGGCCAGATCTGGGCGATGAGACCCATGAAGTGGAACATGGGTCCATCACACAAGAAGACGCTAGCCGTATCGACTTCTGTCAGGATGCTAAAGTTGAATGTCGTCGCCAAAATACTCTGGCCGGTCAACATAACACCCTTGGGCGCGCCGGAGGTACCAGACGTGTAGAGAATGATGCACGTCTCGTGCAAAGGCCTCGCACCCAGCCGGGGCCCAGGCTCTGCAGCATCCACATTGGCACAGAATGACGAAAATTGAATGTGGCGACAGCCAAGAGGCAGCTCCGGCGGGTCGTCGTGATCTGTGAAGAGAATGGATGGGGTGCAGTCGGCCAACAACTTCGCGAGTTCGGGCCGGGCGAGGCGCCAGTTCAGCGGGACATGGATCGCACCCAGCCTCATCAGGGCTTGCTGCAGAATGATCTGATGGACATTGTTGACCGATGTGGTCGCCACTCTGTCACCGATCTGGACCCCTTGCTCGGATAGCACCGCGGTTGCGCGTTGGATGTCGGCGTTGAGTTCCGCATACGTCCACTGACGGTTGGTTGCGAGGTCGATGCAGGCCAGACCGTTCGGCCGTAAGCGTGCATGCAGTTGCACTGGGTCCGGAGCGTGAAATTCCATCAGTGCCCTGGCGTCTCTGAAAGAACAGTTTGAAAGTCTGGAAAAAGTTGAGAAATTCAAACGGGGTGTAAGGTATGTTGCTCAGTGGTTGGACTTTTATCGACGAACCGTAATTTTGGTGTAAATGTCTCCAGCGAGTACTGCAATGTGACTTCGGGGAGGGAGTAGCCGCGGATGAACGTCACTTCGTCAACAACCCTTGTCGCATATGATGGCGTCTAAATAATTGGAGTGTCCGGGACTCAAAGCCGGTTTCCCCCAAGGTCAAGTGAGTACGAAAAGGCAGTTTCCGGAGAAGAAGGAAAATCGGTTTGTGAAGGCTTCCGAGAGTCCTTGTCGTTGATTATATGAACAATTTGTCGTTTACTGATAACCAGTTCAGATAGCAGACGCCCGGCGATGCTCGGAGTTGTTTTCAAATTCTTTGTTCTTCAAACTCCGATGACCGTATGTGCCAACGTGCAGGAACCCATCTGTCCCATATCTTGCAACCCTTTCGGTATGCGGACACGGGGAGTCGAATTCTTCCTTGCCAGCATGCAGGTCGCAAATGGTGTGTGTGGGGGAAGACAACCACCAACGCGCTGTGCCGTACAACTCTCGATCCTGCAAATCCTACCGATGTTGTGCTGCAGCTCGACAAACCACACATTCTTTTCATTTTGGAAAAAAATGTCATAGGGGTTCATCCCGCAAGAAGAGGGTGGGTTGACGCATTCTTTTCGACACTAACCACCAACAAGTCTGCATTGCGCATCATGGTGGACTCAGCAACCAACGAGGAGGCAGGCTTGACCTCCGCTTTGGTGAAAACTTTGAAAGGAATCCACCACACTGAAGTTCCGTCTGACCTAAGATATGGAAAACCGTCGGGCTGTGAGCTTAATGCGGTTGGATCGTTGGGTCAACTTCGTGTTCCTGCTGTGCCATACCTGTACCGACCGAACCAGCTTTATGAACATCACAGGCCACACGGGCACATGTGCGGACCTCGGAAGTTTTCTTTACGTACCGATTCGCAGAGATGACTGCCAAGAGCTCCGGATAAGAGCCAATGTCATCAAGATGTCAAGGATTAGCCGCCAACTGTTTGCATGCCCAGATTGACGCTATTGGAATGGCGAAGGCTGATTCACTCTTGGACTTACTTAGCCTCGAAGTAAGCCATGTCTCTTATTTCGGTAACACTCTGGCAGATTTTGTCAAGACTGAATCATAGAGTTGTCAGAAAAGCCCGCATATAATCAAGCCATGTGCCTGTTTTAACTTTTACGTGGAAGATGTTATGAGTATGGAGAATGGACTGCTTTGACATATCCAACAAATCAATCAGACACCATGGCAGATAGCAAAAACCCCACATCAAATGGTATTTGCAATGAAAGCAATCAAGAGTCATGCTCGTATGAGCCTATCGCCATCATAGGCATGGGCATGAGACTCCCAGGACGCGTGTATAACGCTACCGACTACTGGGACCTCCTCGTCAACGGCAGAAGCGGACGTTGTCGAGTCCCAAAGAGTCGTTACAACATCGATACCTGGTATGGTCGTGGGAAGGCGGCTCACGTGCCTAGTGAGTTTGGCTATTTCCTCGATGACATCAATCTGGCACATGTAGATCCTAGCTTCTGGTCTTTCACCAAACAGGAGGCTGAACTCATGGATCCTCGGCAACGTCTGTTCCTCGAAGTTGCCTATGAAGCCCTTGAGAACTCAGGATCGACGAGTTGGAGGGGAAGCGATGTCGGGGTTTACGTTGGAACCATGGGAGAAGACTGGAGTCAGCTTGAGTCTCGTGACGGCCAAAGCCTCCAACAAGTCCGCCCTGATGTGTACGGAGACTACATCATTGCCAACCGAGCCTCTTATGAATTTGATCTTACAGGACCGAGGTGAGTCTTCAGCCATGTGTTTTCATATCGTCATTTCTGACAAAACTCCAGCGTCGTTGTACGGACTGCATGTTCCGCTTCTCTTGTTGCACTGCATCAGGCATGCCAAGACCTCCACAGCGGAGACTGCTCGTCTGCCATAGTTGGGGGCGTCAACCTTATTCTCAGTCCCAAGGACACCGTAGTAATGCAGCAGAACGGAGTTCTGTCTCCATCAGCAGCATGTAAAAGCTTTGACGCCGAAGCCGATGGATTCGCACGCGGTGAAGGTGTCTCGGCCATTTTCATCAAGAAGGTGTCAGATGCAGTGCGCGATGGAGATCCTATCAGGGCGGTGATTCGGTCAACCTGCACTGCCGGAAATGGCAGAACACCAGGATTGACATCGCCCAACCCTGAAATTCACGAAAAACTCATGAGGAGGGGGCACAAGATGGCTGGAATTACTGACCTGTCCAAGACTGCGATGGTAGAATGCCACGGAACTGGCACTTATGTAAGTTTTACAGCGAGAAATTCTGAAGAGATGCGCACTTTGCTTACAAAACGGTTCCCTGCCCAGATCGGAGATCCTTTGGAAGTTAGTGCAGTGGCCAATATTTGGGGCAATCATGGTATTTATATCGGCTCAGTATGTCCTCAGACTCAACAAAATGTTGTTACAGATACGTTACTTACATGATTTCCTAGGTCAAGCCAAACATCGGTCATGGCGAAGGGGCTTCTGGATTGTCCAGCGTGATCAAGATGGTTCTGGCGTTGGAGAATTCCACAATACCACCAAACATCAACTTCAAAACTCCTAATCCTCGAAGTAAGTGACATAGAGATTGCGTGTCACTAGAAACAGTTTCTAACCAGCTTCTTGACTCAAGTTCCGTGGAAAAGTGCCAAACTTCAAGTTCCCACAGAGCCTACACCCTGGCCAACTGACAGAGAGGAGAGAGTTTCAATCAACAGCTTCGGCATCGGCGGGTCTAACGCTCACGTGAGTTTCCTAGACGGTAGTTCTAGATTTCCAATCAAAAGATTCTGAGCTAATGGCTTGAAACTTATAGGTTTTGCTAGAGTCTGCCTCTTGCTTTGGCCTATCATCATCCACCCTCACGAACGGCTTGAACTCAAGGCCCAGAGTTCCAAGACACCAACTCCTGACACTTTCTGCCAAACATCCCGATTCAGTCAATGAATTGAGCCAGAAGATTGAGGGATACTTGATTCGCAACCCTGAAAGCTTAGTTGACGTCGCATACTCGTTTGCATCTCATCGAGAGACTCACCCATACCGAGCTTTCTGTGTGACTGATGGCAATAGTCCCTTTCAGGTTTCGTCGATTGTCAATTCAAGAAAGGCAACACCAGATATAGTCTGGGTCTTCACGGGCCAAGGAGCTCAGTGGGCTCAAATGGGCAAAGAGCTTCTAGACCAAGAGGGGTTGTTCAGAGACACAATCGATGCCATGGATGGAGTCCTTGCAGGTCTTCCTGATCCTCCGCCGTGGACAATGCGAGGTTCGTTCCTTTTACACACCAGATCTATTGAAGTTTCACTGACTCTCTGAATTCCTCAGAATTACTTTCAGCTCCGAATGAAGAGAGCCGTCTCCAAGAAGCAGAGTTTTCGCAACCTTGCTTAGTTGCGATTCAAGTTGCACTCGTCGACTTGCTGCACTCATGGGGTGTTTCTCCGACCGCAGTAGTGGGACATTCTTCGGGCGAGACGGCTGCTGCATATGCGGCTGGTGCAATCACAGCTAAGGAGGCTATATTGATTGCTTATCATCGCGGTCAGATCACTCGTCTCATTAAAGCCGCACACAGTGGCAGCATGGCAGCAGTCGGGCTCGGCAGAAGGCAGATTGAACGGTTCCTTCGCCCGGGTGTCATCATTGGTTGTGACAACTCTCCGTCAAATGTCACTATTTCAGGTGAAAGCGATGTTCTAGGGGACATTCTTCAGGACATCAACTCTAAGCGCCCGGATGTTCTCGCTCGAAGGCTCTGTGTCGAGTGCGGATACCACTCTCGTGAGTTCATACTATCCTGGTTTAAACTTTGTATCGTAATTGCCCATCTGACTGCTCTCATAGATCACATGAAGACAGCTGCCGATGACTTTATATACCGTCTGGAGGGATTACTTCAAGAAAAGGAGCCGCGGATTCCGTTCTACTCGTCTGTGACAGGATATAAGAACACAGACATGTCTCACAACTATTGGGTCCGCAATGTCATCTCGCCCGTTCTGTTCAACACAGCGGTACAAAGAGTCCTAGATGATTTTAAATCTCCCATTTTCATCGAGCTTGGCCCGCACTCTGCCCTTGCTGGGCCTCTTCGTCAAATCCTACACTTCAAAAATATGTCTGCCCAGTACATACCGACACTAGTACGCAATCAGAAGGCCGTTTCAGCTGTTCTGAAGACTGCAGGAGAGCTTTGGTTGGCCAATATCAACATTGACATTGCTGCAGTCAACACACCGGGACATTTCTTAACGAATCTTCCAACATATTCATGGCACTACGATGAAGAGTATTGGAAAGAGGGCAGACTTTCTCGCAGTTGGCGCTTTAGAAACTTTGATCATCATGAACTTCTCGGCTCTCGCGTCGAAGAGACCTCTGATGCCTGCCCCGCGTGGAGATGTATTCTACGACTTGAAGACGTTCCATGGCTACAAGAACACGTCATTCGGGACAGCATCACATTTCCTGCTTCTGGCTTTATTTCGATGATTGGAGAGGCCCTGAGTCAACTTAAAAGATCTGTGGACTTTACATTGGAAGCTGTAGCCCTAGAAGCGGCGTTGATTCTCAATGACAAGCCAGTCGAGCTTGTGACGGTACTCAATCCGACAAGGTTGAGAAAGTCAAATAAGAAGATCGTTTACGATTTCTCCATTTCTTCACTTGCAGAAGGAAGCGAAGTCTGGGTCAGCCATGTCTTTGGTCAGTGCAGACCTGGCTCAGATCGGAAGCATGTTGTCCCTGACATGCCTGTCCTGCCGCGCAAAGCTTCAGCAACTTCATTCTACAACACTTGGAAGAGACATGGCCTGAACTACGGCCCCAACTTTCGCGGTCTATCTGATGTCAGTTCCCACGTCCATGAGGCCAAGGCTTATGCAACACTGGATGGCAAACTTGCAGATTACACCAATTCGGCCTATCCAATTCATCCGGCCACTCTTGATACGAGCATGCATGTGGCAATGATATCCGAGTGCCACGGTCTGGAGCGAAACTTTCGGGGCCTGATTGTGCCCACTTACCTTCGAGAGGTGTACGTTGCTCGACCAACTGGACAAATCAATGTTTTTGCTAGTGCCGGCAACAAGACTAACGAAACTGCCACGAGTAACATTATTGGAGTTTCCGACGGACAAGTCGTGATCGAGATCTCTGGTCTGGAAGTCAGCCCCCTGGGTGGAGGCGATGAAAGAGCAGACGATTCCCATGCAGGCGTCATTTTGAAATGGATGCCAGACACCAACTTCACCAAACCCACTCAACTGTTTCGCCGTCGAGAAATGGATCCCATTTTCAACGTATTGAACGAACTGGTCTTGTCCTGCACCGTTGATCTCAGAACTCAGCTCCAATTTCTCCCTGCCACGCAACCGCATCTTGTGAACTACAAGAGCTGGCTTGACGCATCGTATCGCGAGGCTGTGACTGGGCAGTACGCAGAAGTTCTCAACGCTTTTGATATTGCCACGATGAGCCACAAAACAAGACTGGAGGCTATCGGGAAATTGACTGAGTCTTGCAAACGAACTGCCGCCTTGGACGCTTCTGTGTCGATCTTTCGCGTACATACCTACGGCGCAGATTGCTTTTCTGGGTTACCTCATGCGATTAAGCCCCTCACTCAAACCGGTCATTTTGATGCAGCTGCCAATCTCATAGCTGATGTGGACTTCACCGACTTTGTCAGACTTCTAGGGCACAAGAACCCAGGTATGAGAGTTTTGCATATTGGCGCAAGAGAGAGCGACGATTCGCTGTTGAAATCTTTGTCTTCCGAGGACAGCAATCACCCATATGGAAGTTACGTGTATACCGGTACTTCCTCAAAGCCGTCAAAGTCTTTGGAGAAGTGTTTCGAGTCAGCACCAGCTGTTACCTACAAGCAGTTGGTGATTGACATAGACCCGTCATCACAAGGCTTCGCAGAAGAATCTTTCGATCTCATCATCTCCGAGCCTACACTATTCTCTTTCTCAAGCGTTTCCATCATGAATATGAGAAGGCTACTAAGTCCGCGAGGTCACTTGATTCTCCAACATGCGAACCCCGACTCCAGGTTCCTCCGATTCACATACGGGCTATCTGACAACTTCAAGTTCGGCTCCGGGTCCCTGGGTAAATCTGATTTTCTGTTGGACCAGTTGAATCGCGCTGGCTTCGACAATGCCTCAACCTTAAGCTTTACAGGAGAGCATGGTAGGATCACTGTCGCCAAACTATTTGTCGACTTCTCAAAGATGAGCAGGGCCAGCATCATCTGTCAAGACTCTAGTCATTATCTGGTAGTCGAGGCAACAAGGGTATTAGAATCTCGCAGTATTTCCCCGCAGTTCTTTTCTCTTGGGCAGGATCTACCCCGTAGGCAGGCTGTTGTGTGTTTACTGGATCTCGAATCTCCCTTTCTTCATGACATGGACGGCACCCAGTGGGAAAACCTCAAGAAGTCTTTGTCTTCGGCGCAGGATGAGAAGTTGCTTTGGGTCACCGGAGCCTCTCAGATACACTGCAAAGACCCTAGGTACTCTCTGACATTAGGTGTCACTCGCAGCATCCGGAGAGAATTGTCGACTGACTTGGTAACCCTTGAGCTGGAATCTTACGACACCAGCGGATGGAACGCCATGGCCAGCATCTTCGAGTCTCTTGGCGATCGCAGCATTACTGACGGCTCTAAGTCAGATTCTGAGTATGTTTTCTCCGGCGGGTCCATTCAAATCTGTCGGTTTCACTCTGTCAAGGTCTTCGACGACCTAAGAGAGCGATGCGAGTATGCACCTAAGGTTTTGAAGATGAAGAAACCCGGAGTATTGCAATCTTTGACGTGGGAAGAGTCGGAAGCTGCGCTTCTGAGCGAAGATCATGTGGAAGTATCAGTGAAAGCTGTTGGTCTCAACGCAGAGGTATGTCAACTGATAGATTCAACAACATGATTTAGGATACTAATCATCGGGGATAGGACTCAAAGTTTTCATCAGGGCTTTTACCAAGCAGCGACAGCGGTGAATTTGGCACTGAAGGCAGTGGTGTTGTGACAGCTGTCGGGCCAAAGGCCTATCGATTCCGAGTGGGTGATCGTGTTGCCTTCAGCTCCGGAGGCTCCTTAACTACCTCAATTGTCATCCCCGAGACACTTTGCGCAGTAATCCCACACGCAATGACCTTTGAAGAGGCTGCTTCATATCCCTACTCCTATAGCACTGTTCTACATGGACTTATGGAGCTTGGCAGGTTGAGAAAGGACCAGGTAGGCTCTCATTGTGCAGCTAGTAAACGTCTCAAGCATTTGCTGATTCTCCAGACTCTTCTGATCCACTCAACTCCAGGTGCTCTCGGCCTGGCTGCTATTCAAATCGCAAGAATGGTTGGCGCAGAGGTAATTCGTGTATCCATCGCTGTACAGATTTTCTCGGGACGACTAACTGACTGAATCCGGCCTTAGATCTTCTGCGCGACGGGGAATCCAACACAAGCCCGATATCTGCAGAAGTCATACGGCATTCCGAACAACCGTATCTTCAGCTCCGACGACACCTCATTTTTGTCTGATATCTTGCACCAGACGAATAGCCGTGGGGTGGACATCGTCTTCAGCACGCATCCTGATTCGATGCAAGAGACTTGGGCGTGTCTCAGGCCGTTTGGAACGATGGTACAAGTCCGACATGGCGGTGGTAGAACAGCGGAGACTCTGAAGAATTGTCGCAACCGAACTTTGGTGAATATTGACCTCGAAGAACTGAGATTTTATCAACCAGAGGAGTGCACTCGGTGAGCCCTTTTCCAGTAGACTATGTACGGATTTTCCAACACAAGTTCCCTCACTAACTTGAGACCTCGCAGTCTTCTGGAGCAGGCATTCTTGTTCCACAAATTTGGACTCAATCAGCCATCGCAGCCCATCACAGTCTTTCCTGCCTCCGATGCACTTTCGGCTTTCAAGTATTTGCGAGGTGGAGGACGGATCGGCCAGGTTGTTGTCAAGATGCCCGGCAGCAATACAGAGCTCCAAGCTTCACCCAAACGACAAATCATGGCTCTCCGCTCGGACAGAACCTATGTCATAGTAGGCGGTCTGGGAGGGTTAGGTCAAGCCACGGGCAGATTTCTCGTCGAAAAGGGGGCTCGTCATTTGATATTCTTTTCCAGATCTGCCAAGGAGTTCGCCAAATCAGCATATTTCAGGGAGCTTGAATTTCTAGGATGCACAGTTCAAGCCATCTCTGGTAGCGTCAACGAGATGACGGATGTGGTGAGGATGGTCGACTCAGCAAATACTCCAATCGCTGGTGTTTTACACGCTGCAATGGTACTCCAGGTATGCCCTCCCTCTGGCCTTTCCACATTTCTGAATGAGCACTCACTGTATCCCAGGATGTTCACTTTGCCGACATGACTTTTGAGCAATGGCAGAATACTGTCTCCCCAAAAGTACAAGGAACTTGGAACCTCCACTACGCACTACAGGCACAAAGAGACCCGCTTGACTTCTTTTTCCTCTTTAGTTCTCTTTCAGGCTTGGGTGGACAGATTGGCCAGGCCAACTACGCTGCAGGAAACGCATTTCTTGATGCCTTCGTTCAGTACAGACACTCTCAGGGCCTAGCATGCTCTGTACTCGATATTGGCATCATGGAAGACATTGGTATTCTTGCGAGGGAAACGAATCGCTTAGAAGCTCTTCGCTCAACCTCTCAACATTGTCTTCATGAGCAGGATCTCCTTGATGCAATGGAGTTGATGATCAAGAGATCTCACGCAAATAAGGGAATTCTTACGCATCCCGCGTTACTTCCGATGGTAAGCTACTCGAACCCGAGTCAGCTTGCCATTGGAATGCGGTCTTCGTCTTCGGTAAACAGAACCGGCTGGCAACAAGATCCACGCGCCGGATTTCTAGCAATGAATGGGCCTGTGGAGAGACATATCGATCAGCTTAAGTCAGAATGTACTCTGAAAGATTATCTTCAAAGCTGTATGTTGGATCCTGCGAGATTAGAATCTGAAGAGGCGAAAAATTTCCTGGCTGCGGAGATTGGCGCCGCGTTGCGGGGTTTCATGATGCGACAGGATGAGGAAGTCGACCTGACACGGCCGCTGCAAACAGACTCCTTGGTGACGGTAGAGCTTCGGAACTGGCTGCGACAAAAAGTTGGAGTCACACTTAATGTTCTTGAGATGAAGAGTGCAACAAGTGTTATCGCGCTGGGCGGTTTGGTTGCAGTGAAGCTTTCGGCCGTGTACAGGAATCATGTGAAAGACGTTGGTATCATTTGAACGCCTTACTATCATTTCTTATTCTAGTATCTCTATGGAACTCCATTGTGCAACTGCAAGGTGAAGTGTCTCATGGGTCTACGAGCGGTTTATGTACAATTACTAAAATGCGATAGCCTGAGTAGCATGACGTCGAAGCCCGTTGGAATTAAGCCGCACCTACGGAGTACTTCGTAGATGTTGTCTCTTGACTGCAATGAAAGACAATACCCGCTGTGGGTAACAGCGCATGTATGCACGAAAATTACTTCCGGATTATCACGTACAGAAGTATTTATAATTGTGTACTCCGTACCCGGAGAGGCCGGAATGGCGGGTCGGCCCTCAGGGGAATGATCAAATAAACTTCAACATTAGAGAACATACCTGAGAGCCCACTGCTGGTCACAAAGTTTGACCAGTTGGTGTTTGCAAAGAACTCTAGGGGTTAATCTCCCATATCCCTAATAGGCTTTGTGATAGAAGTCTATGAGTAGCGAGACAACATGTTGTACCTGATCGTTGATCAACACAACGCCCTGCCTTTCGCAGGCCCCAGCCGCTATAGCATCAAAGAAGCTGCTGTGAGGCCGAGTATATATAGTGGACAAACCGCACTGATTAGGGTGGCAGGTCTGCCTTATGCTGTAGATATTAGCGCATCGATCACAATCAACCTGCAACACGAGTCGCCGTTTCTTATTTCTTGCAGTCTTTTGTTGGTTCGCTGCCCATGTGGCCTCAGCAGCTAGGGTTGCAATCACATTGACGGACTCAAAGATGGACGACAAGGCTGGCGTTGCTGTCGCACTCATGAAATACGATGCCGAAAACCCTACCAAGCCTCAATACGACCGCATTATCTTAGTCCTTACGGGCGCCGAAGACCGCAGCAAAATGGGCCTTGCGATGTCTGAGTATCTAACCCGCGCCGAGAAGCAACGGCCTTCTTTACCTGCTGGGTGGGGAACCTGAATTACATGGCTTCAGACAAGAACCAATGTTCTCGGTCAGGCCGCGCCCCATGAAAACTGGTACAAGAATCTTCGACCGGCCAAGGAGCTCCCTGTGGCAACTGGAGAGGTTTTGACAGCAGAAGTCGCGAAAGTTGGCAGAGATACTTCCATCGATATCTTTCAAGTCGCACCCTGCGAAGACAATGACATTTGGGAACTCGTCGATGCGTTGCCTAACATCAACATCTACCATCTCTTCTTTGGTTACAACTCGCAACAGGGAATCGCCACTGACGACATGAGCCAAGAGGACAGACTAGTTCTATCGCAGAGCAAAGTTCAGCTTCAAAAAACTCTCCAGGCACGCCTCAGCGTCAACCATCCCGGCGCTCGGGTGATATTTACCCAAAATGACCCATCTTTTGCCAACGCCGGAGCCGGCTCTCAGGATCTGTTATGGTGCAAAAAGTTTTTCCCGGAAGAGGATATCTTGATGGCGTTGAGAGATCCTTTCTGGACTGGCCTCATTACACTGGCCAACAAGTATGCCAACGAAGCAACGAGACTACAACAAATACCCGCTTCGCCTGACGAATTCATGACTCAAGTTGTGGCTGCTCGATTGAAGGATACGCCTCTACGAGGTCAAATCTTAGACATGGTCAAGGATGCTGTTTTGAACCAACAGTTTGCACAGGACTCACCAAGATGTAAGACAATGTCAGTCTCCTTTTAAGAGATACATTCCACTAAAGACTCTCCCTCCAGCGTACTCCCCTGTCCAGTATATATTAGTCGAAGAGTTCACCGGGACACCGACGCCAACTCTAGAGCTGGGAGGAGCGAACCACATGGCGATCGTCATGCAGTATCTTGATAACGAGAACAAGGACCAAGATACTTATGCAATGAGACTTCTACCAGCCTTGTGCGACATAAGCGAGGAGAACCCGACTCAACCTCCCCGTGTCTCGGCAGGAGCTCCAGCTGCTCAAAGTCCAGATGGATGGGTACTTGCCGGGTGCAACATCCAAGAGACGAGAAGCTACATAGAGGGGCTGTTTGAGAACAAAGGACCATGATGAACATGCTAGCAAGTGCATGTACTCATTACGGGAATGGATTGTCACAAGTAGGCTGTCAGCTTGGGAAATTAACATCACATTGGTGCCCAAGTACTTTAGTAAAGCTCACAGGGTTTTTAATGTTCTATTTACGCCGTTTTCTATCCTAGCACTATCTTTGCGGCTTTACATTTTGTCGTGGAGGGCAAATTTACTTTTCCCTCTCAGAGCTTTGCCGTACTTAAAGAATAGCCAAGGAAAGGGCATCATGGCAACTGTAAGAAATGCAAGAAGACTTGTTGCCCATTGGTGGCCGAGCTTATCGTACATCTGTACGCCAAATAATGGAAACGCAGCTAGAATATTTGCATAAAGTTAGAGGACTCAGAAGCTCGCGACGATAGCGAAGATAGTGATGACTTACCCGAAAACAAGCACCTAGTCAGTCCGTTAGACGCCAGTGCAGATGCAGAATACTTTGCGTATGCATCAATCTGGAAGCATGCTTAGTATATATAACTTATGAGATAGAAGGCCATCGAATTGACGTACGAGAAAGGTATAGATGCCAGTAAAGGCAAGGACAGTTCTGTGAGAGTAGATTAGTTAGCTGGTGCTTTGGTGCAAAGATGAACACCTTAAATGGAGTCTCCAAGATAGGTAGGAGAAACGAAAACAAAGGAGAGATTCTGAACATCTTCTCGACTTGATTTATGCATGTTGAACGAAGTAAGGCAGTAGGACTCACCCGCAGCCGAAAACACCGGAACCAATTATAGGAATCATCCAATGGATATCGGGACTTATCGTCCAACCAAACCAGAACAGCCCAGTGGGTATGAAGAACGCGCCCAACATGGCTGGTGGTAGACGAAATTCCGGCTCACTAGTCCCGTATTTCTCCACGAGTCGCGTGCGGATGTTGGACCAGACTGATGATGATGCTGCCGCCAAACACATGCCCACAATGACGCCAAAGAATGTGAGACCACCTTGACATAGGTTCATTCCATACTCTGTTCGGAAGAGGCGTGGAAATGCCAGGAAGAACAAGTACAGTATGGCCAGTAGAATAGCTGAGTATACGTTGAGGCAGAGGCACATGGGTTCCAGGAAGTTGAATTGCAAGGGTCGTAGCATGGAGGCTGCTATGATGGAAGCCTTTGATGTCTGGGCATCTCCGCTCTGATTCTCCATCGGCGCTCGATACCGGTCGTCGCCAGTCTGCTGGCGGAGATGTTTCGCCTTCATATATAATCTGATGGGATGAAATGTCTCGGGCGTGAAGAACACAATAATGGTCATTAATATCGAAGACCAAATGATCATGATATAGTAGGTCCATCGCCAGTTGATATTATAGTTGATGAATCCGCCAACAATGGGGCCCACGCAAGGTCCCATGAACGGCACCAACGACACAAGGGACATGGGGTGTTGGATTTGGTGTGGTAGGAAGATGTCTCCCACGGTCCCTCCTGACACTGATAGAAAGGTGCCACCAAAGGCGCCACTGAAAAACCGAGTAACCAGGATGGTCTGAATATTCTTTGCGACTGCTGATGGAATTGTCGAAAGGATGAAAAGAGACCATGTAGCGAGATAGATGGGACGTCGTCCATAATACTCACTCAAAGGGCTGATCATTGGTGGTCCGAAGGCAATGCCTAAAAGGAACGTCGAAAGTCCAAGGGTAGAAACAAGAGATGACGTGCCAAACTCAGTATTCATCTGGGTGTATGTGGATGTGTATGCTGAGCTAGTGCAGGTACTGTGGTGTGATCCAATGGTCAGTATAAGTCCCAACTGGTATGGTCTAGATGCAGCCGTTCGGGTAATTCTACTTACACGCAGATCGTCACATTGCATAATATTGTGACTGTGATCCACTTCCGAAGCAGTGACATGCTATGTGGACAAAAAGGGTCGTCGATCCCATCGAAGGATACCTCGAAAGGGTCGCGATCGGTAGGTGGCCATGCTGATGGCGCAGAATACTTCTCGACGTCATCGCCCGACTGGGAATCGCAGTTATCGCTATCCATTTGAGCGAGACTTGAACTCCTCGTGGTCATCAATACTGGGAGAGAAGTTCAAGCGCGAAATGTTTGAGCAGTTGGTGTCCTGCACTGAGCATTGTAGGTATAAATCGCTCAATAGAGGAAACCCGACGCGTATGGCTTTGGACACGGAGCCTGTTTCCTTTTAAAGACAGGAAACCACAGAAAGAAATCCACAGCGTTTAAACCTAATGACGCCGAGCAGATCGTAATGACTAATAGTGAAGAATGTGAAGCAGCTAGGTCTTTTATCGAGAAGTCGACGGCTTTCGGCATCTCAAGCAACAACGTGGAGAGCCAATAGGAGTACACGGATTCGGCCCATACTTCTCAAGACACCGAGGTGTCTTGGGCGACCGGCACAAGACACCGGACCGAGGCCGGGCTCTAGCCTCTGACCACGGAATCGATGTCTTTCTCACATACATGAATTAGTCCCCGTGGTCTCGTGCAACCCGGCAAGCTTACTCAAAATGCATCGTGCTGTTTTTGTACCTGGCTTGTTTGTCGGTACCAAGCTTAGTACATACATGGTTCCTCAGATGCAAAGTCGATCAGCAGACAATATTATTGAGACTCGAGTACTACAGCTCTTCCGAAAGCGATGGCCTGTAATACAGCGAATCTTCATGAGATATCACACTTCAAACTCACTCAGCACCCATCTTCGCTCCCAAGTGATAGCTCAAACTCACGGGTCGTAGTAAATCAATGTGTCCTGTGCTCCCTCGGAAGCAATGTCGTAAAAGTCTTTGCAGTCCGAGAAGGAGATTTTGGGCTGCCCAGCATAGAAGTCGTCATACTTAGCATTAAGTGCATCCCGGAGGTTCTCGACGCCATCTTCTGGGTGAATGTGCTTCCATGGAAGCCTGCAGGTCTCGGCCTTGCAACTCTTGAGGACCAACAAAAGGGCATCGAGACGGTCTTGAACGACGGACAACGGACGATCGAGGAGCTGGCCCGAGGCGCTTCCGGCAAGGTTGGTCATCTGACCTGGGTCCTTCTACAACGGGGGTGAGTGACTGCTCATGGTGTTTGGAGTTTCTAGAAATCGGACCTACCTTCATATCGTAGAACTCGCGTTCGTTGCTACACCAAACCGAGTAGAATAAGCTATACCCGTCTCCGAGAACGCGCATAGCCTTGTATGTGTTGTTCGCAGAGACTATTCACGAAGCGCCGTTAGTTTCAAGGCAATCAAAGACGATGTGGTGTGAGTATAATTAACTTACCACCTCCGAATGCATCATACCCTCGTTGAGTTCCCCAAAACTCAACATTGACGTGGTCATGCTTGGGGTCATTCTCGGCCTTTTGGATTCCATCCTCGGAGAAGGGAATGGGAGACCCATCAAAGTCGTCACGCAGGGTAATGTTGGCAAGCGAGAAAATCGTGGGAGCAATGTCGGTGTGGGTTGTGACAAAGTCCACCGTCTTGCCCTTTGGCACGCCGGGGCCGCGAATCAGGAAGGGCACATTGATGTCTTCTTCTATGGCGCAAGTCTTTCCTGGCTTGAGACGATGCTGTCCGATGTGGAAGCCATTGTCAGACGTGAAGATCACGTAGGTATTGTCGAGGACACCGGCCTGATCGAGACGCTTGATGACGGCGTCAACCATCTCATCAACGGACTGCAGCGTTTGGAGACGGCGACGGTAGTAGTTGTCACCGTATGCTATTTCGGTGGCATTGAGCTGGGGGATGATGAGACCCCAGTTGGCCATGCTCGGCTACGAAAGCAGCGTTAGTATCGATAGGCCTGAACCGAAGGTGTGAGAGTCTTACCTTGTCGGGATTGAAGTTGTAAGTACGAGGAACCGTCACATTGGAGAAGAGGTTCTCATGCCTTTTCGCAGGGATGGGCGGCGTTGAACCAGCGCTAGTCTCGCCGCCAAGTCCGTTGTTGTGAGGACCAATTGGTGCAACACCCAAGAAGAAGGGCTTGCTGCCGTTGAATTTTAGAGCATCATCCAAGAAGCCGAGAGCTCTTTCGGCAACCAAGTCATTGCTGTACTCGCCAGGGAATGTCTGTGGCGGGCTCTGGTTTCTCTGGAAAGTCGCATTCAAGTACAGGTACGTGTTGGGGTCCAGGAGAACTGGATTAAAGTTAGCATGAATGGCCTACATGATTTACTGTGATCGACCTACAGTCACTACCAGTCCAGCCCTTGGGGAATGGATTGTTCCAATTCTCAGTGGAGTGAGAGTTGAAGAGCTTGCCGGTGTAGTACGTGTTGTAGCCAGCATCCTGGAGCCAGACGGGGAGATACTTGTCGTTGTATCCTTGGGAAACGAACTTAGGGTAGCCACCTATGAGAACGGTCAGAGATTCGTCACTTTCTTGAGCGTGAATATCACTGGCTTACCGTGAGGGGGAGTGACATATGTGACGTTAGTGTTGTGCGCCGCCTGGCCCGTCAACAAGCTGACACGAGACGGACAGCAAATCGCAATCGTGCAAAAGTGTTTGCGGTAGTATGTCCCCTGTTTGACAAAATTCTTCTGAACAGATGGCATGTAGTCAAGAGAGCCGAGTTGTTCGTCCTGATCGTCAGTCAAGATGAAGACGATATTCGGCTGACGCTGCTGCACGTTCTGGGCGACAACAGCAGAGGCCCCGAGGGCCAGAGCTGCCAATGTTGACAGGCTAGGAATTGGCAACATGACAAATTCCGAAGCCAGTACTCTTGCAACTTTACACAGATCTACTTCCAAAGCAAGCAGATACAAGAAAGCAGCTCTGAGATCGAGGTGTGTGCTGACAGACACCACAAAGTAGCTTTTATATTATGCCGTGCGTCAATTACCTCAACTCTGGCGCAGCAGTCCACTATCGACTCCCACACTTGAGCGACTACAACGGCACGACCCTTTTTCCAAAGATGAGGTACCCAGAGAATCAAGTCTGAGCGTGTTGCGGTCTTAGTTCACGGGGACCCAGTAGCTCGGTGGTACCGTTGGTGGGTCGTCGGGCGGCGCCCGCCCATCGGTCGACCAACCGGCTTGGCTCCAGGTCAGCGAAATGGCTGTTTCGACAATGTCAAGTGCTTTCGCAATCGGGTCTTGCGATTTCGTCATTTGGTCCGCTAGCCTAATCAAACCACGATCACCACCTTATCTTCATTGAGCAGACCATTCTTTCGGAGGTGGTTCCAGTTCGAGGTTCAGAGCAATATATCGGGGCTCCGCCTCGAACTGAAGAGACAGCATGAAATGACATAGCAAACGAGTGCCTCAGGCGGCATAATGGCGCGTAAGTCATACAGTCACACAATGTGCAAAGATCCAGAACGTTCGCACGAGTTGTTTCTTTTCTGCCTTAGTCAAGACAATTTACACAGTGAGAAACTATCAATCAAGTGCATTCAAGTAACAGGGATTGTTCATTGCCAACAAAGTGGAACAGGGCGGAGATGGACTTGACACAGAGTCGGAACTCGGAAGAGACTACGAATTCAACTTCCATTGATTCAAATAGACACTGTGACTGAGAGATTATGTCTTCTCCATTGGTAGATCATTAGAGCATTCCATCACGGAGCAAGCTCTTCAGTCTTTTGGTTTGGAACCAGCTACGAACAAACCAAACTGCTTGGCTTTACGACTCTTCGGTCGCATTCAAGATGTGGGTGACAAAGGCCTGGTAGGAGTGAAATTTGACTACCGCTGGGACCATTGGCTATTGTTCCTTTCATGTGTAAGTCTTCAGTGACACAAACATCTGTGTTGCGATTCAAATTTATCCAGCTAAAAGCAACCGATTTCGCAAACTTGTGATGTGCTGCAGGTCGAACCTTGCAGGAACCTAAGAGTATTTGCAGAATTCATGCATCCTGTGGAGTAAAAGTCGAGTCTCTTGCCCCGATTACAAGGCTGTGCTGGGACTTGGAAAGTTGCCTTCTTACGGGTGGCCGCGAGAAAGAAAGAACATCGCTTAAAGAGAGGTCAATCCCATCTCCTCCCTACTTAGGAAGCCGTCAGCAGGCAAATGTGGGGTAGGGAGGTATTGAAAACTTCTTCACAGACCACAATTGGCATCGAAAGGAGAGTTGGTGAGGGGAAGAAGACTTGATGCACACTCGAAACCTTGTCGGATGTTTAGTGTATAACGTTGCGAATTCAAATTCAACGACACTTTCTTGGCCCCTCTAAAATTCTTCCTAGCATTGGGACCAGCAATTGCTCGAAAGTACCCAGAGCGTATCCACCTGGCATGCAAGAAAGCCTTCATAAGCTAGACCTCGCCAGCCGCCGTCAACCTGCCCAACCAGCAATTGGTCAGCAACTGTGGCCGGCTGGCGCAATGGTAGCGCATCAGACTTCTACTTCGCGTCTGACGTGTAGTCATCTGGGGTTGTGGGTTCGAGCCCCACGTTGGTCAATCTTTTGGTCTGCGAGGCGCTGTCACTTATTTTGTAGCCTGGACATTCGGCAAACTTGGTATTTTTGAGGTTGGAAAAAGCGCTGCATCTCTGCCAGAAGCCTCCTCAAGGTGTTGTCAATTCTACATTTAAGAGCGGTAAAGGTTAAAGCATCAGAGGAAAAGTCAGTTGGCCCTTGCCTGCGTGCCTGTACAGTTGATAGCTTGCAGCTCTCAAAATCAAGTTCCTAAATTCCATTAATCTTGACGGTCTGGGTATCTCAGGTATTCATGTCCATACCAGTGATTTATTTCTTTACTCTGTTCGATGCTGTCTAGGTACGTCATGCCGATGTGCCCCAAGGTGCCTTTCCTCAGCAACATCCGTGTCCGGCGCTGGTGGTTACTCACCGAGCCGTCACCGAATACGACCCACTTAAATATCCATGGTCGCATAATCGTCAACCGGCCGCATCGAGCTCCAGCTCAGCTTTCTCTCTCACGGCAAGCTCCAGAGCCCAAATCACAAAATGGTACGTTTCCATGCGCTCCCTCGAGCATGCAACGTCCGGCGACTGTTTCGCTACCTTTCGGTGCAACAAACTCCAGGCGCGCTCGCTAACGCATCTGTCGCAGTTACCCCTCGGTCTCTTGAACGCCGCCCAAGGGCACCCCATGCTCGTCGAGCTGAAGAACGGCGAAACACTTAATGGCCACCTGGTCATGTGCGATACCTGGATGAACCTCACATTGAAGGAGGTTGTTCAAACGAGTCCGGTACGCGCCGCCTGCGTCGATGCATCGCCCCCATGCCCCGCGCCTGACGACTGACGAGCACACAGGAAGGCGACAAGTTCGTCAAGATACCCGAAGTTTACGTCAAAGGAAACAACGTACGAATTCTTCGATTTTTCAAGTCCTAGACACAAGCAACATACTGACGAAGCCCTAGATCAAATACCTACGAGTCCCCGACGACATCATTGACGTCGTGAAGGAGAACCAACAGAACCAGCAAGGAGGATTCCGCGGTGGCAGAGGTGGATCGAGAGGAGACCACGGCGGCCGTGGTGGCGATAGAGGTCGGGGCAGAGGCCAAGGCCGTGGAGGCAGAGGAAGAGGCAACCGTGGTGGCGGTGGGCAATGATAATATCCCGGGCACGACCATGACGAGCCCAGTCGATGCACGGTTCCCAGCAGCTACTCTGCACCATATGGAAGGAACATACGGTCCTCTGAAGGCTGCAGACATTCATGTTGGACGTCTTGCGCGAAAAGGAATCCGAATGCGGATGCCATTCGGAATTACAAGGCCATTGGATCAGCATTGCGTTGCCGGCCTCTTGCCGCCCGCATGGGAAGCATGCGAATCGACATAATCATTTTACGTTTTAAAAGCAGGAAAGGAAACCTATGAGAGGCTATGTCCCTTCAAATATCGCATTTGAGACTTGTGGTTGCTCGCCGTCTATCGCAAACCGCATCATCGAATGAGTCACGTGATCCACTTTGCACCGGGATTATCTCGGTGAGGGAAGCTTCGTCAAGTGCAAGCTGCAGCTTCTCAAAATCTTAATCTCCCGTGCCCAGCTACATTGCCACCTCCATGTCGGGGTCTCGAGTAGTGTTCGACGGCTTATGGCGCTGCCTTTGCCCCTCTGTTGATACGCAAGCTGCGGCTAGGCTTCTCAATTCACAAATTGTTCCCAGAACGTCGCTCGCAACGCGCCAGCGAAGACACCTCGTCCCATCCGCCCGCCGTCCCGCGAATCGCACACAATGCCGAAGATACACGACCGCCACACCTTCAGCCCCGCAGGCAGAAGGGGATTTGAAGCCTTATGATCCCGAAGAGCCAGTGGACGCCGACGCAGCTCGACATACAGAAGGCCCCGAAACTGTCGACGATAATCTCCCTGCCGTGAACGAACAGCTCCGAGCAGCCCCGCTGCCCGCCATCCTCGATGCCCTGGAGGTCCTCCGGGGCCAGCCCAAGAGCTTCAAGAAGGTCGCAACAATCGTTACATATCTGGTGCGGGCTAGAGGTGTTGAGCTCTCCCCAAAGTTCTACGAGGACCTGATCGTTGCTACGGCCGATGTCCAAGGATCGGCGGCATTTCTAGCACAGCTTTTCGCGGAGATGAAGCGACTGCAGTTCACAACGTCACCTTCGATCTCCCATGCCGCATTGGCTGTACGTTGCCTCAAGGCATCTTGAACTGTTGCCTGTACTGACCACTCTAGGCTCTCGCGATACACCCCGACTACCTTCTCCGGAACGAGATCCTTGCAGCCATGAAGCAGTCATGGACCGAGGTCGACGCCTTAGGACAGACCCATGTCGCCCTCGGGCTACTCCGCGACGGACAGATTGAGCTTGCTTACGACGCAGTAGAAAACCTCATACACAAGCAGGTACCCATCGCTTCGTGGGTTTTCGATGTCTTCGTCTTCACGCTCGCCCAACACGGGTTTATAGACGAGGCGGTCAAGCTGGCGCACAGCAAAGTTCACTCTTCTGATAGCGAGACCGACGTTGCATTGTGGTATGCGCTGCTCGACAATTGCTCCGAGGCCTATCACTACGAGGGCACGCGATACATATGGGGCAGGATGCTGGATAAGGACAAGGAGCAGCTTTCGGACGGCGTCCTCCTGAACATTATCAACACAGCTGCCAGGCAGCACGACTATCAGCTTGCCACAGGAGCAGCGCGTTTCGTCACACAGAGAGGTGGGAAACTTGTTGCGCATCACTACGAGGCGCTGATCGAATGCTACGGCGGCGTCGGAGATATTGTGAGCGCATTGCGGGTCCTCTGCATCATGTTCAAGGCCATATCCGTTGCTCCATACGCCAGCACCCGTCCGATCTATCAGCGAATCAAGAAAGAGCCAGACAGCATTGACCCGGCTCTCAAGACTCTTACTGAGCTTGTCCGCAACTACAAGGTCCCCATTGCCGCGCTCAACGTCATGGTTGAAGCCGCTGTCGAAACACACGGCTACGCGAAGGCGCTGGAGATTTACCAGAATGCGCATAAGTATACCGAGGCCAGCCCCAATCATGTCACCATTCGCTACGTCCTCCAATCGTGCGAAGATACAGAAACTCTCAAGGTTCTTGTTGCACAAAACCCAGCGCTGGCCCTGAAAGGCGATCGCAATGTCTTTGCGAGAGTCGTGTATGAGTACGCCGTGGCTGGTGAGCTGGACCTCGCGTACAAGTGTGTGAGATTGTTCGGCGAAGCTCCTGCGCTGATTGAAGGGCAGCAACCAGAACAGTCCAGTTTTTGGATAAACAGGAAAACTCTCCTCACTCTCGTCAGAAAGTCTCTTGACGCACAGGACGTGCGCGTGTGGTGGTTGATCGAACAGGCCGAGAGACGGAATATGGACGTCCAGTCGGGCTTATCGAAGCTGATGGCATCCGTTGCCGACGAGATCAAGAGAAGTTCGGGGCTGGACCAAGAGAACCCCGAGATGACATATCGCTTCCCATCTTAAATGGCAGGTTCGTGTATGATTCGTATTACCAACTGCACTTGCATAGACATCTTTCAACAGAAGATGTGCCGTATCCGGATACAACCGCGGCGGCTGTATACTACACCTTGGCACAAGCCAGTAAACTCTACGTTGCAGAAGCTTACAATCGCCGACCAAATCGTGAACGCCATCTGTACTCACACGGGGTGACTCATAGTCAGCTTATACCGAAGCAACCTTATCCCGACCACCGTGGAACACACCGAGTGGCTTCGGAGGTTATCTATGTATCTGACTTCATCAGTTTGTATTCGGTCTGCAAATCAGCATGCAAGCCTGCCTGGCCAGTCTCTTGCCATCAATCGAAGCGATAGCTGTAAATTCGAGCGTCTTTCTACGTGTCAAAGAAGCATCCGCCGGTCCATTACATCATCATCGAAGGTCTTGCATTGTCTCATCAGTCGACGCAAGCCACTCGGCAGCGTACCGATATTACGAATTTAATTTGACAGCCTGCCCAAAGCTGTGTGACCGGCCGACTGAAAGGCTTTCTTCAACGGCTTGGCAGAAGCCATCGATTAATAAGTCAGGCTATGGCTCGGAAAGAAGATATGCCATCTCAAACAATAGGATGGTGGACACCCAGTGGCTGAATCATCCGCGGGATGGCATTTAGTTCAAAGTTCGACCCAAGCCATAGTTAAGGTTCTGGTCGAGGAGCCAATCAGATGATGCATAGACGGAGATCATTCAAGGGTGCCGGAGCTCGCTGATAAATCGACCAAAAGCCGGACGCCGATTAGTGATTCTCTCGAGTACTGGCTGCTAGCTCGTCTTATCCCCCTTCGCTTCCACGGAACTGACTGACACTAGCAACGAATACCTCGCGATCAGTCTGCAGGCGCTATCTCCTTGATCCTAGCCCTTAATTCCAAAGCCCGCCTTTCTTTGCACGCCATCTCGCTGTCCCTCAACGTCATGTCAGCCCTAGTACTGTTTCCTCCTATCAAGTTTGAAGCCTTGGTCGGCAGAATCAACGGACGTGCCCAGTTCAGACGCATGAGAACGGACAATCCAATACCCTGGTGACACGGCACGCACGTTCAGATCTCACCGTGCCCCAGGCCAGGGAGAGACAGAGATTTACGACGCCTGCTTCCGCGGGCGCCCCCCACCCTCTTCTCTCTCAAACGAGATAGCCATCTGCACCAGCAGGGCGGTTCGCGCCTTTCTCATTCCGGCGCATTCGAGAAACTTAAGCCCGGTTGTGATTCATAATGCCACACGTGCTAGAGTCGCGCTGCATCGTAGTTATTGCTCGTAAGCCCGATGCCGTGGACGGACCAAATTTTGGCCCTGATCGGTCATCAGGCTAGTAGTCATGTCGCTTCTTTGGTCTTTGAGTGTTGTCAACGCTATCGTTTGCTTGACAGAATTTGAGATCATGGTCGGTATAATAGAAGACATGATGTCGTTGTCATTATCGTCTCATGTCCTTTCATTTCACACTCATCTCTCAAGTCTTACACCGCGATCAAGTGAAGATATCTCAACGACTTCCGACGCAAGTCAGATCCCCCAACAAGTACGCTGATATCACAAGCCATCACCACTCTGTGAAGCAATTATTCTCAAGCCACTTCATCATTAGCCGTTCCAATGGCGCAATTAATTCGAGATGCCCCTGTGGGCCAAATCATCCGCTTCATCACACGGAATAAGTTCCTTCAATACCCGGAAGAGAAGTCCGACTTCCAGCTTCCGCAACAATGGCTCGACGTCTTGAACTCAGAGAAGCCCAGCCCGGCAGAAGCAACCACAGCCGACGCCGGGGCATCTCCCCGGTCCTCCGAGTCGACACACGCCGCCGACGAAGAGAACAAGCTCTCCCAGAAAGAAGTCGAAGACGCTGCGCCGTACGGCACATCGCTCCAGCGGACACGGAGCCGAGAAGAGACGGTCCCCTACACGGCCGACCGACTGGAGGTTGACGAGATCCACGAGATCCAAAAGACCAAGAGCATCCCCATCGCACCGAGAAAGACAAAAGATGGCGCTATCTTGGTCGACTGGTACTTTAGCGACGACGCCGAGAACCCGCAAAACTGGTCGAATGCGAAGCGCGGACTCATCGCCGCCGTCATCTGCATCTACACCTTTGTCGTCTATATGTCTTCAGCAATTTACACGCCTTCCATCGAGGGCGTCATCCACGAGTTCGGCGTCGACATGACTGAGGTCTCACTGGGTCTGGCCCTTTTCGTCCTGGGCTATGGTATTGGTCCTCTCCTCTTCTCGCCGCTTTCTGAGATCCCCCGCATCGGACGCAACCCAATTTACATCGTCACCATGTTCCTGTTCGTGATCGTGTCCATTCCCGCACCTTTGGCCAGCAACTTCCCCGGCTTGATGGTTCTCCGGTTCCTGCAGGGTCTCTTTGGCTCGCCGTGTTTGGCATCAGGCGCTGCATCTCTTGGAGATATGTACAGTCTTCTCAACCTTCCCTACGCCCTCATTGCTTGGGTAAGTTCTCTTGTTGATACTTGTCTCGCAAAATCGTCATGCTAATTCTCTCAATAGGTGTCTGCAGCATACTGCGGTCCGGCTCTAGGACCTCTCTTGTCAGGTTTCTCCGTCCCCGCTATGGGCTGGCGCTGGTCTCTCTGGGAGATCCTCTGGGCCGCCGCCCCCGTCTTCCTCGTCATGTTCTTCTTCCTCCCCGAGACCTCGACGCCCAACATCCTCCTCCGCCGCGCCGAGCGCCTTCGCAAGCTGACGGGCAACGACCGCTTCATGTCCCAGTCCGAAATTGACCAGCGCAACCTCAAGACCTCGGCCGTCGTCATTGACGCCCTCATCAAACCCCTCGAGATCACAATCAAGGACCCAGCCATCCTCTTCGTCCAGGTCTACACCGCCATCATCTACGGCATCTACTACTCCTTCTTCGAGGTCTTCCCCCTCGTATACCCAGTCTACTACGGCATGTCCATCGGCGAAATCGGCCTCGTCTTCCTCTGCATCCTCGTCGCCTGCCTTCTCGGCATCGCCGTCTACGTCTCCTACCTGGCCTTCTACATGGTGCCCCGTATCAAGAAGTTCGGCTTCCCGATCCAGGAGAACCGTCTTGTGCCCGCTCTCCCCGCCTCCTTCGGCCCCACCATCGGCCTCTTCATCTTCGCCTGGACAGCATCCCCAGCCATCCACTGGATCGCGCCGACCATCGGTATCACCATCTACGGCGCTACTGTCTTCGTCGTGATGCAGTGCATCTTTGTCTACGTCCCGCTGTCCTACCCACAGTATGCCGCCAGTCTCTTTGCAGGTAATGACTTCTTCCGCTCTGCTTTCGCCTTCGCTAGCATCTTGTTCGCCCGCCCCATGTATCAGAACTTGGGTGTCGCCCGCGGAACGAGTTTGTTGGGTGGACTGAGCACAATTGGCATCATTGGAATTTGGCTGCTTTACTTCTACGGAGGCAGACTTAGGGCTCTGAGCAAGTTTGCGGTTTCGTCTGACTAAGGGGTTTTGGACGATGGTTCTTATCTATAATGTGGATTCTTATGATGATGACATAGCATGGCCTTGCTTCCCTTTTACTTCTGCTTTCCGTGGTGGTTAGAACTTTCAAGACAAAGATCGACCAAGAAATAATAGAATCATATCGCGAGCATGAAACCCACGACAACGTCTTCGTTGATTAGTTGATTTTACAAGTAATGGATGACGGTCTCTCTCTTGAAGATTTCACAGGACCAATGACCATAAGTTGGAACCAAACTTGTCACCACGAGCCGGTACCGGATCTGGGCGACCCGATCCAGGCCAAGTTCCTTCCGTCTCATCTATCCCCACCGATCCACCAGTGTGGTCCCGCAACCTTATCATCGCGCAAGTGCACTAACCGAATTAGGGCATTATTTTGAGAAAGTTAACAGGGCAGGGGTTCTTGGTTAACATGGCCAACGCCGAAAAGCTCTCCTCTGAGATGAGCTTAATTGATATGGGCGTGGTTACGGGGAGGTAGCGGACCGCATGCTTCAAGGTTTGTTCTCTGATGAGCTAAACTAAAGACGGGCAATAACTAGAGAGATTACTATTGAAACGTCATGTGTTACTCAAACAAGAGTGTGAGAGGGGCATACGTTCACTAGATTAACTTCCGTAACCGCGCCTATAAAGCAGACCTGCCGAACCCCGCGGATTACTGACATGTCGTGGAATCTACTCAACAGCTCGAATAAAGAATGACTCCTATCCAATGGCGAATTCCGATACATCTCCTTCCCGTCCCTCTATTACACGATGCGATGCAACGGATCCATCAACCACAACGGAGAAGCTCGTCGAGATCATCAACTGCGACGGCGGCGTCATAGTAGAAAAGTTGATCGAACACCAACTCGCGGAAGAGATCAAGCGAGACCTTAAGCCTTACTTTGATGAGGACATCCCAGACAAATACGGCTTGTTCCCAGCAACTACGCAGAGAGCATCCGGCCTACTGGGTATCTCGGATGGCTGCGTAGAACTCGCATGTAACCGCATTTATACCGACGTTGCGAATGCTCTGGTCTCTTCGTCTTACACTTTCTGGCGGGGCGATAAGCAGAAGACTGTGAGCGGGAAGCCCATCATCTCTTCGACGGTGGGCTTCCGGGTGAATCCGGGAGGCAAGCAACAGGTACTACACCGTGATGACAAGTGAGCATTATCCAGTTGATATCTTGACACAGAGCCTCCGTAACATGGACTTTGCAGTGACTATCATCCTCACGACAAGAAATTGCCCGTGATGATTGGTTGCGTCACTGCTTTGACAAAGACAACAGCAGCGAACGGCGCGACTGTCGTGATTCCGGGCTCACACCTCTGGGGCCCCGAACGTCGTCCACTCGATGAAGAAACTGTTCCAGCAGAACTCGAACCCGGCGATGCTTTGATCTTTCTGGGGAACTTGTACCACGCTGGCGGAGGAAACGTGACCACGTGAGTACACCGCGATCAGTTAGTAATCTTGGCTAACTCTCCAAGGGATGAATATCGGGAGACCGTTGGAATCTTCCTCTGCCAGCCGACACTTCGCCCCGCAGAGAACCAATTTCTCATGGTGCCTTTTGAGCGGGTGAAGAAGATGAAGCCCCAGGCGCAACGTCTTCTGGGGTATGGTCTGTGTGAGCCGGGTGTCGGGTTCATGAAATACCAGGACCCAATGCGAGTGCTCTTCGGTGTCGAAGACAAAGAGACGGTCGATTTCTAGTAGTTTCCGGTTTGAGTTGGTAGAGTCTGGTAGCATGAAGTTCCTCTCTTTTCCCTAACGGTGCTGTTAGTGCTCACACTACAAGGACTCGTTGCCCTATCGCTTCTCTCATGCGAGCGAGGGGACGCCAGTCGTCATTGTCTCCTGCCCAAAACTCCTTGAGAAAGTTCACTGCGTCCAAGTAATAGCTGAAACGTGTGCCCTCATGAATCGCCGTCAGTAAGCCTGCGGTGATTTCTTGGCGATGCTGATTTCCATGACATTCGGTACCGGCAATGAAGGTCGGCCAGGCTAGATTCTGAATGAAGGCGGCTTGGTCTTCGAACCCGGTAAGTTGATCGAACAGACTGGCAACGACTACGACACGCTCCGAGGCGTGCTCGACAGCATAGTCAAGACATCTCAGTGAGTACAACAGTCCTGCACTATGATACACCTCGACTAAGCGGATGAAATCACGAGACATATTGGAGCCTGCCAATCCGAGTCGTCCGGCCGCCATCAACGTAGCGCCTCTGGCCTGCTCAAACCCGGACCGAATGAGAGGCATCGTGAGGCCGCTGCGTAGGCGTGAAATTGAAGAATGAGACTCTATGGCATCTGCCGATACGAGAGTGACATGATGCAAGAAAGTCAGGTACCTCGAAAAAAGGAGATTGTCTGAACCAGGTGCCGGTGTGACGGCATTTCGAATGAGGGGTATGTCGAACGAAGTTGTAGCTGCCAGCACATCGTCGATAGCCAGTTGATTTCGCAAGAAAGCAAACAAATTTCGATTGTGGACAGAGTTCTGACTTTTGAACAGGTTGACAATCGTCCGAGCCGCGCGTCTGTGATCATCAGCGATTTGGAGGCGGCGGCGGGCATTCTCGTAGTTGCACATAATGAGAATCGAGGCCAGCATCCATTCCGCATCGGCCAAGTCGGCATGGTTGTCCAAATCACCGCCCTCGATAAGTCGTGCCGTCATGTTCTGGGCACGGGTCTGTATCAGATGCAAACACCTATCGCGAGCGTCCTCCGCGATAGACTCGTCGGGAAATGCCATGGCGCCATGTTGAACCGCGAAGGCCATGATGGCGAAGCCGATTGCCGGTTGATTTACTGCGAGAGGAACGACTTGCGTTCGGTAATGGTTCTCATCCGAGTCCATCCATACCATCAGACCGGCTAAGTTCCGTCTATAATAGTCCATGAACACCCTTATCGAGTCGGGGTGGTCGCAAGCTCGACCTGCTTGGACGATCAACGGATTCAGAATGGCAACGGTTAGGGCGGAGTTTTTCCTTTCATCTAGCTCGAATCTTCCAGGGATGACGGCTCTCGAGTGATCTTCTCGGGATGCGGTCTTATCTTCAGAAGATGGCCTCGTGGGGATCGTCTGGCCCCGCAGATGCCCCCTTGCGGCAACCCCTTCCACCCATCGAAGCCTGCGGTCGTAGCCAGGACATGCCAGCCCCTTCTTGTCACACTTGACGCATTGGGGACGTCGGCGATCGCACCGGATTCGACGACGCTCACAGTTGGCGCAGCCTGGGGTTCTGATCAGCACAGGGCACAGGCGACGGGCTGAAGGAGGGCGCGAGCGTTCGACGCACCTTTGAGTTGCTTCGCAGGCGTCTCCACAGTAGAGTCAGCAAGATTTCTATGAGCTGCCCCCTCCGACATGCTGTTGAATTCTCATGGCCACGATATCGGGGATACAGAAAATCGTACGCGAGTGAGTATCAATGCCTGGGGGAACTAGCTTGCGCGTTGAAGAAGATTTATCAGCCAATTGCGGGGTTCCCATCCCTCACGTCGTCTGGTCTCTAGCTATATCCCGATTGATCACCATAAGGGCGTCCAATCCTTGGAGGCCAGAGATTTGCACCCGAGATCAAATCTCTGACAATGGTTCAATTACAATAATACCATTTACATCTCTTCCTCAAACTTCAAGCAGTAAATTAGACATCTTGCCGAATAATTACTCTACAATGGCATTCTCGAGCGCACAGCGTTTGATGCAAGTCATGTTGACTGGGTAGCGCAGAGGAGGAGTCAATGTAGATATTAATGAATACTACGGTGTCTCTTTCTTGAGTGTTAAATTGTCTTTTCAACTGTTCATCCCGTCGGTCCGACTTTCCCCTATCCCTCCCTATTCTATTTCCGAGAGTAATACGGTGTAGCAACTGTTGCATATGCCATGCTGACTCACCAAGGAGCCGTTCAACTGCAGCATATGCTGACACCCCAACTTTTCGCCTGCAGCTACTTCGTGCAGTTTCCAATTACACCAATGATCAGCCAGTGTTGCCTAAAGTCTTACATCTCTTGACTTCCTTCTGAGGTGCGCAAACCCCTCCTACTCTACCCCCATCAACAGGCGAGCATTTGATCTACTACGAAATTTTTCCCCAGCTTTAGCGAGGTTTAGCAAGGAGTTCGCCATGGAAGATGATTACATCCAACAAGCGAGAGTCTCTCCGCACTGGATAACTGAAGCCAACACCTTCTGGTATCGCCAGAACTTACCATTCGGTCGGTTCGCCTTCATTCACGTTGATGCCGTCGAGAAGCGGCGACGCTCAGCTTTTGATCATCACAAGCTAGCAAGAGCGCTTGAAGAGAAGACCAACCTGAAAGATGGGGTAATCGATGCTTTCAAGCTGCCGTTCACATGGATCGACCTTGAAACCGAGTCCCTATCCGTTCGGTTTATGTACGAGGGAAAGAAATGGCAGTTCGATAATACTGAAGAAAACCTCAGTGAGTGGGAGGGCACGCTCAACCTACCCAAGACGCCATTTCTTTCCAAAGAGCATCCATCTGTCCACTCGAACCACTCCGTCCGTATTACATTTGTCAACAACAGCAAGGCAGATTTGAAGATATACTGGATAGACTGGCAAGGCAATCCAGTGCTTTATGGAGGGGTTGGCAGTGGACTGAGCAGCACTCAAAGAACGTATGCCGGCCATGTCTGGAAATTTGTCGACGAGTCGGAGATTGTCAGAGCAATCTACGACACACCTGAGGAAGTTGCCTCTTCTGTGGTTATTGATGAGAACACTATGGAAGAGCTCAGTCCTCTGGGTTCAGAGGACAAAGATAAAGAGGGAAATGGCAATAGAAAACCCCCAGACTCGTGCGAGAAGAACTCATCCCGTCTCTTTGTGCGGGCGTTCGACCTTTGGCACCAAAATGACGATCAGGATGAGGTGCGTCTTTCCGACAATGGCGCCGATGACAATCGATACGATGATTCAAACATCTGGATATCTCCAGACAAGAAGTTCTGCATCGCCTGGCAATTTGTCCCGGAGGAAGAGCATAAAGTGCATCTTCGCGACTCTGTTCCGAACGATCAACTTGAGCCAAAGGTGAAGAGCATTCGTTACCTGAAGGCTGGGGATCGTGTCAGAATTGATCGCCCTCGATTGTTCAACCTAGGATCGAAGAAAGAGATCGCTACGGATGTTACTCTGTTTCAAACCCCCTACGAGCTGCGGAACATTGGCTGGAGTTATGATTCTTCGGAATATCGCTTCATATATAATGAGCGTGGCCACCAACGTTTACGCGTGATAGGGGTCAATACAGACGGTGTCGTTAGATCTCTCGTCGAAGAGAGCAGCGACACATTCATCGACTACTCCACGAAGCTCAATCGACGTGTGATCAAAGACACCGACGAGTTTATCTGGGCTAGCGAGCGAGACGGTTTCAACCACTTGTATCTCTTCGACCTTCAAGCAGGAAAGCTGAAGAATCAGATGACAACAGGGAAATGGAATGTCAAAGAATTCGTTCATTTTGACGAAGAGGCGAGAGTGGTCTGGTTTTCAGCATGCGGAGTATTCCCGGGTCAAGATCCGTACCATACGCACTTGGCTCGTATCAACTTTGATGGCACCGGGTTCAAAGTGCTGACCGACGGAGATGGTACACACAACTGGACTATCTCTCTGGGGCACAAGTACTTTTTCGACACATGGTCGCGAGTGGACTCGCCTCCACGCACCGCTCTAAGAAGTATGGAAAACGGAGCGCTGGTCGTACATCTCGAAGGCAGCGAAGAAGATTCTCACCGTTTAAAATCAGAAGGCTGGGTGGCCCCTGAGAGATTCAATTGCCCCGGAAGAGACGGTGAAGAGTCGATCTACGGCATCATCGTTCGCCCGCCAGATTTCGATCCCAAGAAAAAGTACCCTATCCTAGAATCCGTCTACGCTGGCCCGCATGGATTTCATGTACCAAAGGAATTCAGCCCTCTGCGCTCGCGCCGACAGTGGGCAGAGCTGGGGTATGTTGTTGTTCAAATTGATGGCATGGGAACGAATTGGCGATCAAAGAAATTTCAAGACGTAAGTTGGAAGAATCTCAAGGACGCTGGGTTCCCTGATCGCATAGCCTGGATGAAAGCCGCAGCGGAAACTCGGCCGTGGATGGACATAAACCGAGTTGGGATTTTTGGGGGATCAGCAGGCGGACAAAATGCCGTGGGAGCGCTTCTATTTCATGGTGACTTCTACAGAGCAGCCGTTGCCGATTGTGGTTGTCACGATAACAGAATGGACAAGATCTGGTGGAGCGAGCAGTGGATGGGCTATCCGGTCGATAAGGCATATGAAGATTCATCCAATGTGGTCCATGCTAGCAAGTTGACGGGAGCGCTGATGCTGATCGTTGCAGAGATGGATGACAATGTCGATCCCGCGTCTACTCTGCAACTGGTTAACGCTTTGAACGATGCAGACAAGGACTTTGAGTTTCTCTACATGCCTGGGGCCTATCACTGTTCAGGCAGGACGAAGTATGCTCTCCGGCGACAGGAGAGATTCTTCAGACAACATCTACAAGGCCTGGAGTAATAGCACACCTTTTATAACCTAGAAGCCTGTCGATCATTGAGAGATGCACATGGTTTGGCGCATAAAAATGGTCACAATTCCCAATGACCTTCAAGAGCTTGAAAGTAAAAGAAGGGTCTCTTTGATCTGACAGCTCTCAACTCCAATTCTATTACCCTACCTTACAAATTATAATCCCATCCCGAGCTCTAATGCAGATGAAATCCAACAGGACGCTAACGGTCTGGCTATAAATAGGTTTAGACCGCGTTATGAGAAAACATGTTTACGATATTAGACCTTGCGTGCCCGAATTAGAACCTGATGTTCTGGATCAGGTAGAACGTTCACCCCGAATTCTACGTTCTTGGACCGTGGCTGACCATCCACGTTCTTGATCTCATAATTCAAGAGAAATTCCGCAAACATGAGCTTGATTTCGACGTCGGAAAGGAATCTGCCCGGGCACGCATGCCTGCCGAAACCCCAACCAAGCTCCGTACGTGTGACGCTGACGAATGAGTGCTTGTGTGCCGTTCCTTCTTCTTGGCGTTGACGGTACGATCGCACGCCATCGAACTTATGCGGATCGGGATAGATAGAGGCGTCAAAGTTGATAGCGCTAGTTGGTAATTCCATTTTTGTTCCGGCGGGGATATAAGTTCCGTCCTTCATAGTCATAGGCTTCGTCGCCATGCGCTGGAATGTAGCTTTCAACTTGTGAGAATTTGTCTTGTGTTTCTTAGGATGATGCGACTTACTCAGATCAGGGGCATTCATTCTCAGGCTCTCCTTCATCCAGCTGTCGAGTTTCTTCATCTCGCCAAGTGACTGTTTGGTAAAGATGCCACCAGAACTCTCCAAAACCTCCACAACCTCCTTCCGAAGCTCTTCGGTGTACTCGGGGTATGCGGCAAGGTCATACAGAACTTGGACCATGGTGGATGAGGTTGTGTGAATACTCGCCACAGCCAGAGTCATCTGCAGAAAGAGCTGTAGGTCCAAGTCACCGGCTTTGTTTGCGTGATCCCCGCTAGACAAGTGGTCCAGCATCGTCGGAGGGTTCTCCAGAGGCGCACCGCCCAGAGCATTCTTTCGTGCCATGGATTTTGCGACGATATCGCGCCCTTCAGCCCACTGTTTCTCCTTCTCCAAGCGCTCTGGTAGGAAGTAGGCGACGAATGGGCGGAGAAAAGGCGGCCACTGTTTGAGGGCTGAGCCGTATTCGATAGCAGTGTTGACGAACGACATCGAAAGCTTGACCCACGCAGGGTTTCGGGCTGCTTCATCGCTATGCATGATTCTTGCCGACAAAATTGCGACAAGTTCAAAGAACTGATGGTGTGGCTTCACTGGAGTCCATTCTGGAAAGGGATTAGCGACCTTGGTTAGATAAAGATGGAAAGGCATCCAAGGTGGTGCACAAAGGGGTCGTCGGCCATACCTGTCGGAGCTCCAAGAAACTTAGGAAGGTGTTCTTGGATCATTCCATGGAAGACAGGGACATAAGCACCTATTCCCGGAGTCAGTTTCACGGAGTTCTTGCAAAAGTTGAGTAAGATTTAACAAACCCAAGCTGGGGTTCATTTTTGCCAAGATCTGGTGTACCCCCCAAGCATCTACACCTCCAATGCCAGTGTAGTTAACCAGCGCATCCTGGCAAGTAAATTAAGCACACAGTCTGACTCTCGAAAAGTGGCATTGCCTACATTGTCGATTGAGGCCTTGAAGCTCAACGCCGGGTGGCTTTTCAGTTCGTCAACACTTGCAAGGGGCAAGACGACTTTGACGCCTACACAAAGTCAGAATCCTATTGAAAAGTTCTGTAAAAGAGTAAGTAAACAAACCATCCATCGTGTCAATTCCGAAAGGCTTGCTCTTGAACTGCACATCGCGTTAGCTGTGAGATGCATTGTGACCTAATTGATATTATCTTAACCCACCCGCTCATAGTACTTGTCGAGCAGCTTCCTGGCGTTCGTGCCGTATGACCGTTTTCTATTAAGAATATCGGATACCTCTTCAGATAGGGGCGTTGGTACTTTGAGTCTTCGACTCAGGACTTGGGAAAGTATCCCCAAAAGCAGCGATGAAAGTATTAAGAAGCTTGCTGTTGAAGACAGATGTTGCCAGTTCAACAACGAAGCATCCATTCGGATCGTCGTGGGTAATAAGGAATCCATTTCCTTGGAGCTTGCAGTCTGGCTGCCTGTAGTTAGGTAGGAGGGATGTGGAAATACTCCAGTGAGGAAAGAAATTGGCTTCGGGCACTGGCCGTCTATGAGGTGATGAAGGGTTGCAAGTTCGTCTTTAACTCTTTCAGTATTTTTAAATCGTGGGAACTGACTGCGGTTGTTCACGAACACACCATCTGGAGACATTGAACAGAACTTAAATAAGAGCTTGCTTCAGCATGAACACCTCGCCACAGAATGCCAGTTTAGACGAAGAAGCGCGCCGTGAACCGGGTGGATCAGTGCCCCGGGCTGGCGCAGATCGACACCGCCCACTTCGGTGCGGACTCTCGGCACGCACCGAGTCCTTCATGCCAAGTAGCGCACGCGTCATTCACTTTCTGAAAGGTCGAGTCTCAAGAACTCACTGTTTTTTTGAGAGTCGATGGAATGACAGATACTCCGTGTCTCACTTCGGTAGCCGGTGGGAGAGTGCAGGTCTCATATCGTCTCGGGGGAGCGGTGACAAGTGTCGTCGAATGTACTCTTCATATTTCTTCGTGTCAATATACGCCAAAATGTGACAACTAAGTTTTGACCGGTAAATCTACGTGTGATACTGACGGGCTTTGAGAACATCCTGGCCATTCTAAGTGAGAGCTTGCTCCAACTTGAGCCTTTTGAGAGCAGCTTTCGAAACCCACGATACCTGAATATACCATACTTTACACGTCAATCGAGTTCAGATCTTGACAAAAGACAGACTACCTACTTCATGAAACCCGAAATGTATTGCCTCTGTTCACCACCCCACTAGTCTTAACTACCTATAAACGAGAGCTCAACGACTCAGCACGGCATACTCTTGCCGATAGCCCAACATTTGATGATTTTGATGCATCAGAATTTAGGTGACTACAGGCCCAGATAGCTACAGAAGGCTTGCGTTGCAATAGGCTACAGGCCTACCTGGACAATATTAGAGACGCTCGACTTGGAGGCGGACCCCACCCCACAAGGTTCATTTTTCAATAAGTAGAGATAATTTAACTGTACAGTCTGACTAAATTAACTATATACTACTATTAAACGGGTTTCACTTTTTAAGAATCCTACTAACCTGTTACGGCCAGCTAGTCGTGGTGAGTATGTTAATAGAAGTTAAGGCTGCGAGGGCTAAGTAAACAGTGTTGTAGTCGTAGATAGCTTCCCTAAAGTTATGTTTGTAAGTCGTAAAGTAGGTAAGGCTTTGGTGATGAATCGTAGTCTTATTAAAAGGTATTCTTAGTAAAAATAGTTGAAAGCGATTATAAGATTTAATATTAAATTAATTGCTAAAGAAGCTATAGGAAGTCTATCCTGGAGCCCGGCTTAAGTCTATATTATATATAAGTCTTGTTTTTAAATATATTTTTTATCCGTATATTTACTTAACGGGCTTTATATTTTAAATATACGGGCTCCGTATTATAAAAGGACGGGATCCGTATTTTTGGTATACGGATCTCCTTATTTTTTATTATTATATAACTTAATTTATAGTTCTTCCGTTCCGTTAGGGTGACGTATATATTTTGTTTACTTATATATATATGGTCGTACTATAGCCGCTATGAGCTTATAGGGTAGGCCCTGGTCTTGGTTATGTATATTAGGTCGTAAAAACAATACACTTACGACTTAATATAATAATAAGACCGTCGTAAGGACGTTTTAGGTTTTTATAACTTTAATACGTCTTTACGCTATTAACTATTCGGTACGGGCACTTAATATAAAAATATCAAGTATAAGGTATAACGTTATTAAAACCAAAACAATTAAACACGTCGTTATAAACTAAATAAAGTTTTAAAATAGTATTTTTTAAAGAACGTTTCTTAATACGACCTAATATTATATTAGTATATTATAATAAACAAACTTAACGGACCCTAACCTAGGCCATAAACACCTATTTATAGGTCTATAGGATTAGACCTTTAAAAGGGAGACCTAATATTACGACCTGAATAACTAGGTAGTATTATTATTAATAGTATAATTTATATATAATAGTATAGTTAGCGAAAGTATAAGAGAATCCCCGTTCTATTTTAATTACGGATTTTAGCTAATAATATATAGAGAAGTATAATAAGGACTATATGCTATAAAAGCCGTAATAAATATAATAAAACTTAGAGAACTTTAAAAAAAAGTATTTTTAGACCTCGAATTTATATATTAATATATAAAGAAAAACGCGGATAGATTAAGGATTAAAAGATTAACTTTAAAAGAGGGGGATAGTACTTATCTCTTTCGCTATAATCTTAAAATAAAACGACTAAGTAATAAATTAGATTATAAAAAACTTAGACCTTTCGAAATTATATAGAAAGTCTTACTAGTTAATTATAAACTAAAACTCCTAGATATAATAAAGTATTATCTAGTCTTTTATATTTTATTTTTTAAACTAGTACTTAAGGGTTTATATATAGAAGATTATATTATTATAGAACTAAACGAACTAAAATACAAAGTTAAACAGATTATTAACTATAGAGCTAAGAATAGGATACGAGAATTTTTAATTAAATAAAAAAATTATAAATACGAAGAAAATATATAGGAACTTATTATAAACCTTTAGAACTTTCGATAACTTTTTAAGGACTATTAAAAGACGGTATTAACGGGCTTAGGGATGCGAACTCGTTACTAATTTTAAAAGTAAACTAGTTTATATTATTAAGAACCTATATAAACTATAACTTTTTAATTATTCTATATTTATAAATATTTAACGTAGATTTTAAAGTATTAGACTTATTTACTTTTTATATTCCTTAACGGAAGGTCTTAGTTTAACGCTTATATACTAGTTTCTAAGTTTTTTAGATACGGGATAAATAATTAGTAATAATAGCTATTAACGACTAAAGACGGGCTAGCTCTTTATAAAGCTTTAGAAGCTCTTTATTTACCTTCTCTTCTTTTTTATCTTATTCTCTTTACTAAGTATTAAGTTTTTAAACTATAAAAAAATATTAAAATAATATAAAAATAAAAAAGAAAAGAATGAACTTACGAATCGAAGTTATTAATACTCCGTTATAAAGCTTTTTTGCTTTCATATAGGTCTAATAACGAGAAGAACCTTTTTTAAACTAATACAGAACTTTAGTATAAAAATAACGAGTATAAGGTATTTTAATAATTACTAAACGAGCTTCGATAAACTCTAAAAGCGCGAAGCGTTTATAATCCTTTATCTCTATTTTTTTAGATTTCGTTTTTAAATTTGATTTTTCTATACGACTTAATATAGTATTAGTATTATAAAAGATAAATAAAAATAAATAATTTAACTAGCCCTAACCTAGGCCGCGGATATTTATTTATAGGTTTACGGGACTAGACTTTTAAAAAGGAGACTTAATATTACGACTTAATATATATAACTAAGACTAGGGCCTGCCCTATAGGCTTACAGCAGCTACGATATACTATATATATATAAAGACGCTAATATAGGAGTTACTTTAACGGAATAGAAGAACTATAGATAAATTATATAATAATAAAAAAGACCGACGGACGATAAGCGGTTTATAAATAGGGCTAATAAAATAAAAGCGGTTTACCTCTATAGGACCGATATTATAATATTAGTCCCGATTATAAAAGAACTATTTAGATAGTATATAGGACTTATATATAAGATAAATTCGAGCCGGGCTTAAAGATAGACTTCTTATAGTTCTTTAGTAATTAACTTAATATTAGATTTTATAATCGCTTTTAGCTATTTTTACTAAGAACCCTTTTTAATAAAATTACGATTAATTACCGAAGCTTTATTTATTTTATAACTTATAAATATAGCTTTAAGGAAGCTATTTATAACTATAATACTATTTATTTAGCCTTTATAGCTTTAATTTCTATTAATATATTTACTATAACTAGCTAGCCGTAATATCTTTAGTAATATATATATTACCCCGACGCATTTTATCCTCGATATCTTAACTATATACCGTTTTTAAAAGCCTAAAATATTTAATATCTAAGGGCTAAAGTAAATAAAACGAATAGGGCAATATATATAGGATTACGATATTATTCCCTTAATAAAAAAGCTTAAAATCCGTAGAGTAATAACTTTCGTATCCGTTAATAATAAAAAAGTAATATTAACCCTTTATATACGGTTTTATATACTATTTAAAGTACCGAGCCTAATCTAGGCCTCTTTTATTTATTATCTATCTATTTTTAAACGTTACGATAATTTAGTTATATAAGAGACCGGTTTCTATATACTAAGTAGAGAGGTAATATTAGCCTATAACGATAATATATAGCAGAACGCTATAGCCTAACGAGCTAATAGCCTAAATAATAATAACCTATTTATAATTACTAGGCTATATTATTTTTATATTTAAATACCTCTCGGTATTAGTTACGACTATATTAATTAAGATTTAGCTTATTATAAAGCTAGTCTCGTTAAAGTTATAGATATTTAAGTTTATAATACCGTACTTTATAATTATATTCGTTATAAATAAAAACTACGCGTTTATCGCGTCTAGGTCTTTATATTAAGCCTTTTTATAATTATATTTACGAAAACGATGCGTTTATAACTATAGCTATTATTTAATAAAGTTTAAAGCTTATTATGTTTTAATAAAGAGTACGTCGTAGTTAGCGAGTAATCGATTTACTATTTTTTTAATATTACGAAGTTAGGGAGAAAATAATTAAAAATCTAAATTAAAAATATACTTAACTAGCTTCTCTTTTTTAAGGGACGTTAAATTCTATAAGTTAAATATATTATTACGTCGTAATAATATCCCCTTTAATTAATAAATTAGCGTTATATAGCTTACTAAATAAATCTTAGCTATAGTCCGAGCGCTTAGTTTCTAGTTATTTTAAATAGCCTAGAGGGTAAACTAAATATTAAATTCTTTATTTTAATAAGCTATATTAAGTTATAGAAGAAAGGTGCCCGATTGTGTTTAAGTAATATAGTCGCCGTTTCGTATTTTACTTGCTTATCTATTTTACTCGCTTATTATATACGTTATATATATATCCTATTTAAATAAACTTCTTAAGAAACTTCTACTAGTCTTTAAGTATTCCTGTATAGTAAAAATAATCTTTATTTACATATCGCCTCGTCCTTTTTATAGCTACTACGCGTTCTATTTATCCCTTTTTAATACGGTATCGTAGATCTATTTAATCTCCGTCCTTAAGTTATTGGAAATCTATTTCTGGCCGACTTACGTACCTAAGCCTGTGTGCGAGTACTGCTAGTCGGCCTTTTGGAAGGCTTATGTTACGTAGAGGAAAGGCCTGGCTCCTAATAGGTTTACCGGTCCGTACACTCACGGGTCTCCCATTAGTCAGCAACATCCACTGTATTTTGCCGTCTTAACGCTGATCAATAACTAATCACAAGATGGCCACTATTATATCTCTACCGATGCATTTCAACGACCTTCCCCCTTAAGCGTGTTACTTATTATAAGAAGAATTGTTGGTTAGTCTATATATCTGGGCAGCGATCAGAGGCTATGAATTCATTGTGCGAAGGTCGACTATTGGGAGGTCTTGCCGATTAACAATCACCTACTCATGTAATCGATTCCGTTCTGGTTGCTAATTCTCGGTATTAGGTAAGGAAGATTGGAGCGAGAATTGGCTTTTTAAACACTGGGAAGCTAGATTCTCTTGACATAACCACGACACTAAAGATAACTGCAAGTCTCTAGACGATCTCGATTTCCTAGACAATCACGAATCTTAAGATCGGTAGCAGGAAGTGTCGCGGGACTAAACGCAAAACGAGCTTCGAGGCCCTCGAAATGAGCCTTATTATGGGCCTTTAGATAGGTTGGAAGGTAAGGGGGGGAAACGACTACCTATATGTAGTAAATGCAATTTAGAAGGCTATATAAGGAGTGTAAAATCTTGTCCCTAACGACACCGCTCTAGCCCCTGCTGAGAAGCTAAAATACAGTGGATGTTGCTGATTAATGGGAGACCTGTTAGTGTACGGACCCGTGAACCTATTGGGAGCCAAAACCGAGTAGGAATCAAACAAACCAAATCAACTGCAGCGGGCGTAACACCGACATCCAAGTGGGTCGGTCAACTGTTGCCCTTGCGTACGAGTCGTAACAAAGAAATGGGCTGGATGTTAGCTCGTGTTTGCATAGAGTTGATGAGAACATTTTGATTTGCATGAAAGAATCACAATGTGAATTTCCAATGAATCATCGCGAAAGTTCGTCCTTGAGCGAGCGGAATAGTGTACGTGAAGAACAAGGAAAGACAAAAAGCAGTCTTGTAATATGTAGAAGAGTTTTGCAATTGGGTTCTCTGGTATGTGTGCTAATTGTTTTACCCTGGATGACGTGCTACCTCAGCACTTATCTCCAATCACAGCCTTTGCCTCAAATACGCCGTCATTGTAAGTGAAGTCCTTGGTGTTTCCGTGTACGCAGTTGCAACGGTAGTTGATCTGCGTAACGCTGGTTTGAAAGTTGATGTTACTCAAGGCACCACCGAGCTCTTTGCACTGTGATCCGAGTGCCGCCTCGACGTAGGCCGTCGTGCACTTTGGTGACCACGTTCCGTCTTTGGCAATGATGCAGCTTCCAGAGTAACTCATTCTCCGGGGGTCTCCATGGGCTGCGGAGACGAGCGCAGGAAGAAGGACAAGGAGGTTGATAAGTTGCACTAAGTCAAGTTAAGTTTGACTGCGGTTACGTGAGGCAAGTGGTTGAATGAAAGCTTACTGTTTACGGTCAGTGTTGGACGACAATTGAGGAGTTGTTTAAAAAGAATCGAGCTATGGCTCGGACGGAATCGCTAGTTATAAAGATGTGGTGGGACGAACAGAGGACAGTCCCGGGACGATGTGCTGATGATTACTTGCTGCGATTGAAAATAGAGTTGCGCACCGACCTGTCTCTACATAGTTACTTCCGATAATGCCGTAGGATATCCCAGCTAATATCAGTTCCGGTTTGATTGACACACCCGGTGGAGAATATCTCCACTCAACGCCTCGCGGCGAGTTAGCTGCGGAATGACTGCAGCCTGGTCTGTGGCTCTCCACTGAGGAAGCTTTTGCGAAGGTCACAACCGCCCTATATTTTGCGAGTGACAAATAGTGGACGCTTCGCCCCAAACTTCAAAATGTTAATCAACACATATTACTATACATACATACATGATTTATTACGCCCCGGCTAAGCTTTTCCAGGGCTCGTATGATTGTTTACATGGTCTCCACCTTCGTCCATATCCCTGCCTCCCAGAAGCCCATAAGAGCATCATCAATCTCTATGTCGTCTTTGTCACTACTTATCATCACTGCGCTTGCTTGTGGGGCTCGTAGCAGTCCATCTCGAGCTTGTTTCCCAAAGTATTCGGCGTCCTATCGCCGGCGGCCGAGGCCAGCCTTGTTGTCGATGGCACGAGGGTGCGTGGGGTGTCGTCGGTTAGTGTGTTGATATAGGTTGTGTGTTGTTTCGTTGCTGGTTGATCTGTGCATCCGGCCTATGTGTGTTTATGGCAAAAATGATTATCTCTTTGACAACGTTTACGCGTCGCGACCCGTCATCAGAATCGGACGCGCTCTTTTCTCCGAGAAAGTACGACAGGTCCCATGCGGTCAAGACAGCTGGAGGGGTTGAAGCTATCACATGAGGCTGTGACGATAGTCGCTGGTTGCAAGAATGATTTTGCAGGATTCCATGAGATATAGGTATTAGATACTCTCGACCAAAGTTGCTCCCTCCTTTCTTTGGAGGTATATTAGCACTCGAATTCGGCTTTAGCCTCATTCCATCATTCTGTATCTGAGGCAAAGCTGTCGGATTGGAAGTCCAATTCGACCTCGAGGTCAGGGCGCCCGCGCAGGGGTCACTTACACCCATACATACAATAATCGCGGCCTGCCCAACCTACGGTTGGAACCTCCCTTTTACACCCTTACGCAGAAGTTAATATAGGTCAATTGACCTCTTCGTTGACCCGCGGTTCGAACCGAAATCCCTGTGATAGGGATATCACCAGAACCCTTCCGAAAGAAATTTGGGCTCGATATTTGGGCTCGATTTTTACCTGCATTTCTGGCTCCAGACTAATCGACAGACTAATCGGCAGAAATTTCCAGGGAGACCGGCGACTTATGCCGGGCACCATTACCTGCTGTCTCCAGTAGCCGGAGTTCGCGAGCTACGAAAACTCTCCCTTCGGCATGACCGCAAACTTGATCACACTCCCAGCCATCAGCCAAGGTTTCTCATAGCGCTTAGCAGACAAAGTCTCGCAACTACAAGATCTTATTGCATCTATAAGACTACCAAGAGTCTATTGAGGAAGATCCAATATTGTGACCGTGCCTATCGCATGCTTGCCAAGATCGGCTAGCCATAAAAGCTTTGAGGCTCTCAACCGTATGATTCCTTCCACAAGGTTTACTAGGTTGACAGGTAATAAGATCACTTTCGTCCAGAAAGTCAATGCCTCGGGGTTGGATCGCGATTTGGCCAAGGCACGCTGCCACCCAGAGTCCTCTTACCAAATGAACTGAAATCTGCCATATCCTATAGTTGAGACTTAATCTAAAGATAGTTTGCGCGCACGCGAGAGTTCATCGAACATATGGAGTCCAAACTTCTCGGGAAAAGGAAAAGTCCCCAAAAAGTCGAGCGCCTACGGGCTCCCAAGCCCCTCGTCAGCGAACAGGGGATGGTACATTCGTGCAGCAAACAACAAACAACGTCGACATAACCAACAGGGTGGGGGGGCTTCGCCTAGCGCCTGCTGGGCGAGAGCCATTTCCCACGGAAGACCTTCGTGTCCTCAGACGACTCAACGAAGACTCCCCGGCCTGGAAAAAACAGAGCTGTGCGGTTTTTGAACCGCAGGTTCAAAGTCGCCACCGAGCGAAAACCGACCGGAGCAAGCAGGAGGAAAAAGAGCACGGCGAGGATGCGCAGCTCTCTAAGCTTAAATAACTTCTTTATCGTGCTTAGCGTCTTTTTAATCTACTACTTAAGATCGCCGATCATTATATAACGGTTAGCTCGCCGCTACTTACTTAAACGGTGTTTTTTCCCTAAATCTCGTTAAACTTAGAGGACTTAGTAAGAGTGCTAGTATCGCTATAAAAGAAACCTGCTCTATATATACTACGGTTTAGCTTCTAATCTTTTTACTTATAACTCTCTCGAAAACGAGTCGAAAGACCTTTTAGTATGCGCTCACAGAGCTCTTTAATCCCGCGTTCCTCTTGCCGTTCTTACCGACTTTCTAACTTATAACCTAGTCGAGGTAATTATATATAAGGCCGAGTAAGATCTTTATAGAGCAGTTTTGTAAATTGCGCTAAAGAACACTACGGAACCTATAGGTAAGTTATATTAATAGGTTAAAGAACGTAACGAGTCTACGAATACGTACTGTCGCTACTAATTCTCTATAGTATCGATAAATACCGTCGTCCTAGGGCTATAATCCTAATAAACAAAGGGGTCCTCGTTAAACACCTCGACCTTGCGTCGCTAATACTTAATAACTAGGTATCGCTATTAAAGAGCTTGTTTTAGTCTTCGATATCTATATTATTATTATAGATATCGTCGATATTAGTTACGTCGGTACTCGAGTTACCTTTTTAATCTTTCTTATCGAAGACGTCGTTATCGTCGTAGCCGTCGCTTTTAACCTCGGTAGCGAATAATGTATCGGAATCGTAAGTGTCCACATTAATACGTCGGTGCTTTAGTACAGTGGGAAGTGGAGCGGCAGTTAGGAGGGGATGATCGAGAAAGTTGTGATGATCTATCTAGCTTTGAGAGAGGATGGATCGAGGAATCGGCTCGCTAGGCAGTGTAGCGCCCGTAGATTATAGTGCAAATGGGTGAGCTATGGCAGGGCCTAGTCTGGCGGCCACATTTGGCTGTTGGAAACCTATAGATCTCTATATATATGTCCAAGTCCATTACCATTCTCTTAATCTATCGACCTATCTATACGTATTTATCGTACTTTACTAAGCCCTTTTATTTCGTTATCTTTAATTTAGTAGAGAAGTGGATTTATAACGTCCCGAGGGACCGGCCCGGAAAGGAACTCGAAAAACTATTATAAATCTCCCTCTATAAAAGGCTACGTCCTTTTAGTTAAATTAAGAGTTTGTTCTCTTGCTTTAAAAACGGGCCTCTTGACTTAGTAAATCGCCTTGTAGACTCTCGTCTTTTTAGTAAAGAACCTAAAGGCTGACTAATTAAGGGATATTAATACGTCATTTATAGTTCTATAGACGGCTATTACTATTTTAATTAGAATGTCGTAATAAATTCCTTTTTAACGTACTTTAGGACTGGTTTTCTAAGACGTTATTTATAAAATAGCTTAAAGAGGGATCTAGGGTCTATTTTATTATTAGTAGAAGTAGGAAAGACCGGTAGGGTTAGGATTTTGCATATTTTTAATTGATTCGTAGCCCGCTTTAACTTTTATTTTAGCTTTAATACTAGCTATAATAATATATTCTATAGTCTTAGAGCCCTGCTAATGCAAATAGTTTTTTAAGAATTTCTTTTATAATATTTAGGTTTTAGCTAACCGTATTAGTCGGAATTGTCTTTATAGCCTTAGAGCTCTTACTAGATCTTATTAGGGTTAGCTTAGTTTACGATATATATATTAATAGTTCTATAGGCCCTACCCTTATTATTATATTCCGGGTCCGAATCGATTTTAGTATAAGTGCCCGCTAGTAGTTATAATTTGCGAGCTTGGTAATAGATTCGAAATAAGTATATAGGAGGAGTATTTAATATTATTATTTTAGTATATACGTATATTTCGTTTGGTAAAGGTATATAGTTACTAGAATAAAACGCCGTTTTTATAAATAGTAGCCCGCTTCGGTTAGTTAAGCTAGGGCTAATTACGTTAGCCTTAGGGTTCGGCTACGGATTAGGCGTTTTTTATTTAAAAAGAGGTTAGTATATAGAAATTTTAATATAGTATAATATTTTTTAGTTTAGGGATGCTAAATTAGAGTATAGTAGTTTAGTTTTGGTTAACGCTGGGCTTTGTATTATATTAGACTTTTTAGTAGGCCCTTTTAGGGATTCTAAGGCCTTATTAACTTCTATTATACTAGATAGTACGACTTTTTAATATAGTAGCTAGGTCGTAAAGTTATTATTAGCTACTTAACTTCTTCGAGGTAGCTATTCGGTATAGGGCGGAGTGCTATCTAGGATAAGGGCCTCTAATTTAATAGTCGATATATTCTTAGTCGATTTTTAAGGGATAGCCGGGTTAGCTATATCGTTTATATTTTTAAAACTTAGATTTTAATACGAGGGAAATATTGCCGTAGCGAATACCCCGGGTAGTAACGAAGGTACTAAAACTAGTAAATAGTTAGTAGACTAAGCTACTATTTTAGATAGATTTTTGCGCGTCTTTAAGTCTACTATTATAAACTCTTTAGCTAGGCTATAGCCTATATTACTTAATGCTAGGTAGCGGTTAATCCGTAGATGCGTCCTATTTTTTAAATTAAGTTTGCCCTTAGTATTCCCTTTTAGGAAGGATTAGTAGGACGCGATTAAGTTTCTATTATTATAACCTTTATTTTAATTAAATATAGTCGTTGTATTATTTAAAGGAGGTATTGTAGTTCTTTTTACTATTAAATAGGAAGGACCGATAGTCTATTTAACCGTGCTTCTAGTTATCGGTAGATACATAGTTTGCGCTAAAGCTAAGTAGAATAAAATATTATTAAGATTAATTAGTATTTTAGGTTAAACGTTAGAAGAGTGTTAAAGGTTTAATGTTCGAGAAGATAGGAGTGTCGAAGTTTATTAGCTAGGCGCCTTTATTTAAATAATTAACGTTTAGTGACCAGTATAATATATTAATATTT